CCTAAGCTCGCACTAAGATATATTAGCCTATTCCGCATTCGAGAAGTTAAGGGCTCCTCCGTATAGGCCTATTAGTTATAGCTTCCTCCCTATTATACTATCTATAACACCTTCTATATATCCCTCCTTAAGCTATATTACCTACGTAAGGGGGATGAAGCACCTGCTAAACACGAAGACATATTAGCGGATAGGGAAGAGCTGTAGTCTATAGAACGTATCCTATAGTACCGGACTAGGAAAGGCAAGAAGGAGTACCTATTAAGATAGCAAGGCTATTTACCTAAATAGGACTCGTAGGAAGCTGAAGGTTCCTTTAAGGACATAACCGAGTTATTAGATAAGTACTAGACTAGCGTAAAGAACAAGAAGAAGGCTAAAAGCTTATAATGTTACTACTAAGCCTAGGAACAATGCTACCCCCGGGGTGCTATTAGCTAACTAATTAGAGACAAGCAATTGTTAGCAACAAAGGACAATAAGACTATACTAGGCGCACTACGACGCGTTAACTAATTGCCTGCTCTTTTAAGGACTCTACCTCTTTACTAATGCGCCCTATAAGGCCCTTCTCCTAGTATTTAGGTCCCCCTCTTGTTCCTTTATTCTATCGAAGCCTCGAGGCCTAGGCAATCGGCGCGGCCGGCGCGGCTATATTAGTAACGGTATTGCGGAGTATATTGTTAGTCGAAGAAGGAAATTAGAAGCAAGGTAAAGTTAGCGCTAAGACGACTAGCGCTACTATTATTAATATTACTTGCTATTGTCGCTACGCCTATAGACGCAACCTTACCTATACTACGAGCCTAAGGCACCTTTAATCAAACTTTAATTAAAGCTTTAAGCCTATTAAAGGTTTAATTAAAACTTTAAGGCTAAGTTAAAACTTTGACTAAGTTAAAAGATTAAGCGACTAATAGACTAACTAAGGGTAAAACTATAGAGCTAAGCTAGCCGGGGTCGATCTTGCGGACAATAGGTTACTCCTCGATCTATCTAACCCTTTAAGCGAGGCGAACCTCTACTACTGCACTTACAATAGCCTTTACCTATAGAAACTAGACGAGCTGTGTTTTTTCTAAAAAGATAAGATAAGATTGACAATTAAAGGCTGCCAAACCTAACTAATTAGGGCTAGCGAAACTACGAACAATAATGGCCCTTATAATAATAAGAACAAACCCTCGGAAGCGGACAACCCTCGGAAGCGGATATAGCTAGGTCTTTTAGAGTAGACGCAAAGAACTCGGTACGACATTACGTAGAACAGGGGTAGTGCTACAATACCCCGTATACCTACCTATTATAGTAGGGAAGGTGCGCTCGTATTGTAATTAGTCGGTAGTCGTCAATTTTTGTAGTTATATATCACTTTATTATATAAAGGGATAGCGCAGTTAGAGTTAGACATTGTGTTATATTAGAGGTAAGGTTTAATATAGTTACATAATCGGTAATTGCGTATTTAATTTAGCGCGGACTAAGAAGCTTACTAGACCTGCTAAGTTAGCAGCGATAGAGGTTAAGAATAGAACAAAGACTAGCTACGAGGGCGCGGCCTTTAGAAGAGAAGCGTATATCAGGACTAAAGAGGTTATACGTAATTGGTAGGTAACCGGGCTCGAGTGAAGCTAGGGTCTTAATGCCTTAGGCAGGGCTTAGCGCTAGGCGTTGGGCTAACTAGCCTGCCTTCCTCCCTCTCCTCTTAGATCTCTATCGAATACTATACTGATTCACTACTACCCTATCTACCTGCTGACATAACCCTTCTTACAGACTAATTCTTATATAGAATAGAAGTAGTCCTTCACTTAGTGCTTCCGTAACACTCCTAGTGCCTTATAGACCTTAATAGCACCTGCTAGGCTTAACTAATTGTCGTCGTTTATAATTAGCTTAGTCTAGTGCTATTTAGGGTAGATTAGATTGCTATTTAGACCTTAGAAGCGATTAATATAGAGCCGGCAACGTTCTAGTATAAGAACACTCGTTCCCTCGATATAGAAGCGCTAAATATACTTGCAAGGTAGGTAATAGCTATACTAGAAGTAGTAGAAGCACTTACTATATACGTTGTCGTACGGAGCCGGTAGTGCTATCCGCTAGGTAGGCTTATAGCTATTAATATCGTTGTAGCACTATATAAGCTAATCCGCTACCTTCTTCTATATTGCGAGAGGTAAACGCCTAAATTCGATAGTCTTGCTTTGCCGCTACATTAGAAGCTATCTATGCTTCTTAACTACGCTATTTTAACGGACTCGGTCGCGGATATAGCTATCAAGCTAAACAACGTGTAGAACAGTGCCTATAACAGTTAGTTGTTGTTATATAGAAGAGCTAAGAAGCTATAGAAGTGTAAGAATAATACTAAAAGCCGCCGTGCTAAGGAATTCCCCTATTCTAAAAAATATAGCTTTTATATAAATTCCGACAGCACTATAAGAATAGGACGAATACGCACCTCGTAAGCTCTATTTGCGTATCTAACGCTTGTCTCGGCGCTTTAAGTGTGCGTAATAGCCCTCGAGTAGGCTAGTAGTGCGAACGGCTATTAAAATCGGGTCTCCGAGCCGTAACTAAGTCGCCTAGCGATCGCTTTCGGAAGCCTTCTAATTTGCCTTTAGATAAGCTAACTCTTCGGCGGCCGTAACTGTATTCTTATAGGACTTAAAGGCTACTATTGCCTAGTCAATAAAGTATTAGCATTCTTCTTAGTCTCGAGCAATAAACAGAGCCTTGTTTATTGCCTTTAAAACAGCCGGAAAGCGCTTAAAGTGCTTCTCGAGGGTTTTAATAAGGTAGCGTTAGTAGAGGCGTTAGATAATGCCGCTATCTAAGAGGCCTTAAGCGATACCGAGTTGCTTACTTGCTGAGTTATTAGTAATCGACTATAGCGCTATCTAAGAAGACTGCTTAGTATAGTTAAACTAGTCTTAATCTTTAGCTTTAGAAGAATAGCGGTTGTTAAGGTTGAGCTAGAAGTGCTTGCTATAGCCGTCGTATTCGCTAACCTTGCGATTATAGTCTAATTTAGCTTTTTCTTTAAGCCTAGAAATAGCCTTCTTAATAAGGTGTACTTGTTTATAGTCTATAAGGAAGTAAGCCGCTAGAAGCTACTCTAAATAGCTATTACGGACGTGTATAGTCGAGAGAGGCTATTTTAGCTTATTAGTTAGGTACGTAGAGTCTAGTAAGAACAAAGACCTATAGTTGCGAAGGGCTCGAAGTTGCTAGTCCGCTACCTATACAAGGCCTCTATATAGCTTTCTATTACTTCTACGAGACTTAATTATCTCTGCGTAGCTACTTCTACTACTAAATTTAGCCTATAAGTACTCGTACGCCTGCTAAAGCTATTTCTTACTGTCTAGTTTAACACTATCTCTTCGCTTGTCGCTTATACGCTTTAGGGCTTCGCGGTTAGCGCTACTAATACGGTCTCGAGTAATAATAACGGCTCTAGCGTCGTACTATACCTGCTTCTATTTAGGTCGTCTTATATCGTTAACTAACTAAGCGACAGTTATTAAGCCTACTAGAATAGTTAGTTTTCGGCGCTAAGAGCTTACTCTATAATACTAACTAGCTCGAGAATCTAGTAGGTCCTTCTAAACGGCCTTTATACCGTCGTTAGTCGCTAATCTATCTACAAACTCGAGACTATACGAATAACCTTCCTTTAGCGATTCTAGCTCGACGTAGATCGGCCTTATAACCGTTAAATTAGTAGGTAGAGCCTTCGGTATATAGTTATCGAGGAACTCGCCTAAATAGGCCTTAGGCCGCTTCTCGTATACCTTAATAATAGACAACTTCGTACCGTAGTCGTCTAAGGGCTTCGTTCGCGCGATACGCTTTCTACTAGGCTTAGCAACGATAACTATACCCTTAGAAGCGTTAGAAGCGCGCTGTTTGCGGTCTACGCGGTCGTAGTCTATATAGCGCTTATAAATACGACATTTAAGGCTTAATCGTCGATATAAGCGGTTATTATCGCGGTCTACTAATAACTTGCTAGGTCGATCTTTGTAATACTATACATTCGATACGAAATAGCGGTATTCGTCGTATTCGAAGCCCTCTACTCGATAAATACCCTTCTTACTACCTATAGGGTAGAAGAATAGGCGCCTTCGATCGTATAGATTTAGTAGAAACGGGCTCTTAAACTATAACAATCTACTTAGTTACAATCTACTTAGTTATAATATAGTCTACGAGACGAGTTATACGTACTAGCCGCTCTACTTCTAGCTTACTAAGCAATAACTCAATATCCTTAGGAGATAGGTGTTTAGCGTACGACGGCTTAGCTATTATAAAGAGCGTAGAATTAGCGACAGTAAGGTTAAAATAAGCGCGATATGTAACGCGAGGAAGAGGTAGAATAGGTCGATTAATAAGAGGTAGAAATGGCCGCTAGATAAGGTCTAGTTTGGCTTTAATGTAACTCCTTATTTGCAGGCCTATACTATGCGATTACAAGGCTTCAAATTGGCTCGAAATTGGACCTCTTAGCGGTCCATATATAGCCTGTCAACAACTATAGAAGTGGTCAAGCGCCTTGTTAAACCTGGCCGCCGTGGCGGCGCGATCTACACCCTTGTCTTGGTTGATCTACTTACACCTCACCAACGTCTGCGCTCCGTCTATGTATGTACATATACGTACCAAGTGAGCCGCAAGTCATCGTCGACGAGAAGCTCGATCGACGCAACTCGTGCCGCTCTAGTGGATGCCCAAAGATCGAATCAGACGCAATTCGCTGGACGTCGTTGCACTGCTCTCACAAATCATCGATCTCCCACACACCTTTACTGTGTTGACATGCAACTAAGCAGCGTTCTCGCGTCCCAGTACCAGGGGTGACAGCTCTAGAGACTAGCCTGCTTAGCTACCGGCTCTACGTAGGGCTCTTTGCAGACGACGCGTCGACTACGCACCAGCAGCGAATGCGATTCCAGCGAGAATGTACTTTTGGCCATCGAGATGCTCCTGGACCGCCGCGATTGCATGCGGCATCGTCATATCACTGTCGAACTACTGACACCTCGAACATCGCAGCTATTCACAACCGGCATCACCAATGCCTACCTCACGACATGCATATATGGACACGTGTCTTGGCTATTTTGCCATTCACAACCTTTCGAGCTTCCCCTGCACCAAAATCCATCTTCCACCTCTTCTAGCTCCCTCCCAATTCCGCATATACCGAATGCAAACTCGCATTTCGACTCAGATTCTTCGCCTTCTCCAACATTTCATTCGCAAGCCGCTCGAGATAGAAGCCCGAGACATCCGGGGGCAATTGATCAAAACTCTTCACAATCTTGTCAATATCCTTCCTGCCTTTCTCATACGCAGCAAGATCGCGGTTTCCGTAAACATCTCGACCCGCCGCATAGCCATTCGACAAATTGCGGAAGAAGACATTGACCGCAATGCTCAAACTCTCCGTCGGAGCGGTCGTGTGTACCCACATCGGCGGGATGAAGAGGATGTCGCCCGGGTCCAGAACAGCTTCTTGGGGATGCGTGTTTGCCAGAGCTGCATGATCTGTCGCGGGCCCCTTCCCATCAGCCTTTCCAAATACATTAACCGATGAACTCGAAGCTCCGGGCTCGAAACCCAGCTGACTGACATCGGAAGGAGGGAAGAGCAACAATCTCTTCCTGCCCCGAACTTGACAGTAAACATTAGCCATCACATCGTAATGCAACCACATATTCACCGGCCCGGAAATTCTCAGCGGAGAACTATGTTGATTCTGCGTGACATATTCCAGTTCATGCGGTAATTCGAAGTCCTGTGCAATCGACGGAAAGTCCTCGGACAGACATGTAGGGTTCTTGGAAGGTGCGTCTTGGGACAGAGATCGTAGGTATAGCCTTTCTCCACGCTCCACGCCATCCAGAAAAGCTCCGAATTCTGAAGTAATGTATTGGAAATTCTTGCTCTGAAAGTCCAGATTCTGCGTCGTGGCGGCGTGAACGGAGACTTTGCGATCCGCGCCTATGGCTTCTTTGAGGTATTGGGTCGTCCATGCCGTCGTGCAAGTTCCGATTTGACAGCGTCTGAGAACGAGGGGTCGAGCTGCTTCGACGTATTGTGGGAAATTGATGCCGTGGGAGATTTTCATTTCGTGGATGGCCATAGGAGGGGGTAATTTTGAGGCTGAGGCGCAGTGGCCGTTACTCTCTGCTCCGCCGTCTGTAGGAGACTCGACGAAGATTTTGCTTTGCTCTGCTGTAGGTTTGCCGCCTTCCAAGGTGGAGTGGAGGCGCCATTCCATTTCGAATTCGCCGGGTTGGGCGTCGTTGAGGATACAGCTTCGGTTCCAGGTTGTGCCGAATGAGAAGCAGGTTGCTCCTCCGCCGAGGACTAGGAGACCGCCATCTACGTCCATTACTGTGTGGCCGATGAAGAGCGGTCGAGGGCCTTGAATTGGTTGGGGTCGTAAAGTCTTCATGTTGAGGATCTCATCTTGCCGTGTGAGCATTCTTGCACCTGTAATTCCTCCGATCATCAAGATCCCTCGATTTGATCGCACAAGCTGAGCTCCGAAACGCCCAAGAATGACTGCATCTGCTTTCAAGAACGCTGTGGCTCGAGCAGTCACGTTCTTGCAGATGAGGGTCATGTCGCTCTCCAAGGTCCAATGCCAGAAGTCGTTTAGCACGCGACCTGCGCTTGTCATGCCGCCGACCAACACACCAGAGACACCTTCTCTGCTATCTGTGATCATTGTGGCACCGAATCGGGCGGATGGTCGCTCCTCGCCTTGTACAGACACGGTCTGCCATCCCGTCTCACCAGTCCAGATGAGCCACTCGTCGAGAACGTGGCCATCGCTCGTTCTTCCCCCAAACAGGAGGACCGTATGCGCAGGCCGAGGATCTGTGGGTAGTACCAACGGAACAGCGCTGTGTCGATATCGCCCCGAAGGAAGGTCTTGTACTCTCCTCCACTTGGCATCCAGTCTAAGCCATGCCTCTGCACTCGCCTTATCGGGTGACGTCCGTCCACCAGTCAGTACACAGTTCGCAGTACTGCCAAGCCGTGTCACAGCGTGGCACATAAGACCCTGCCGTAACGGCGGCCCTTGAATCGGTTGCACGGCATCAAACCTAGAATACGTATTACACGTGTCAAGGCGTTCCTGGGTGCCGAGACCGCCATGGAGTCCTACGGAATCGCCGGAAGCGTCAGTAAGCAGAGGAGGTATCGAAGCAGCATAACGCCGAAAGTTGTGTGGCTCAAGCAATTCGTGCGTCTGCAGGATATCTCCAGGTCCGAAGTGATACTGCGGAGTGTCCGGACTACTGCTCGTTGTCGGACTCGATATGATAGATCCTTTACTCGATCCCGCGAATAGTGATGCTCGCGATGCTCTATACGGCTTATATGTGTAGTCGCGGCCCGGTTCCTTCTCCGCATACAGGAGGAAGTAGTGTGAGGCGAAGAGAGCGAACTCTTCCCATTCATCGAATGGCTCCACGCGGTCCAATCGTCGCCGCTCCTCGGCACTCAGGAATACAGGATCTGACCACAGCTCCCATAAAGATCTTATTTCGGTACCAGTTTCGGGGTAGCCAGCTGCGACGAATCGGAGCTTCATCTGTTCCATGGTCCCGACTGCACGCAAGGGCGTTCTGAGCTTTTCGAAATGCGCCAACATTGTTGCTGCGAATGGATGATCCGAACCGTCTGGGAGATGCTGTTCCAAAAGACAGAATCTGACATCGTCGAACGTCGCTGACCAGTGGAAGACTGATTGTGAGGCTTCTCGTTCCATGTAAGCTGTCGACACTTCTGACACGAACAGGATTGCTACATCCTTCCCTTCCAAGGTCAAGTGATCTCTGAGAATCTCCTTCATGGGCTCAATATTTGCAAGGTCGCAACCAATGGCCACGTACGGGTCGCTGGACGCCAACAAGCCCCCATCCCTTGCAGTAGCGGTGAATTTTGGTAGAATGTTTTTGAGCTGCTCTGTCTTCTGGATGATGCCGACCTTATTCTGCATCAGAGCAGGATAGTCCACATCCACGAATGTAGCGCCTTGACATAGTACTGGTTGCTTGCCAAGAAAGAGAAAGGGCAATGGGTCGCTGTGGCGCGTGTCAATATGAAGGCAACAATGCAGACACGAGAGATGGGGACATACTAGCCGCAGCCTAAGTTGACGACCACCTTTCGCTTCGCAGTCTGCTCGGCAAGAAATCGGGATACGCCATGTTCGATGGCTTTCATGCGCAACCAGTAGCCTCGATTGATGAGTGGCGATCTCCGCTTGAATTTGCTAACAAAACATCGAAAGTACTCGGGCTCGCCACCGTAATAAAGCTTCTCGACAGATCGCTTGGAGACGATGCTTGATTTGTTAGTGTCCATGATCAATTCATCTCGCTGCTGCTTGTGAGGATCCACAGGGATAGCTTCCTTTGCCTTGCCATTGACAGGCAGAGTGCTGCTACGCCTGACTTTGCTGGGGTCGGCGCCGAAGAGCTTTTCCGCTGCCAACATCTTGCCGTTGCTTCGGTTTTCATGGCCAGTCGGTTCGTGCACGCTCACAGGCGAATCGATGTGCAATCGCGCAGAATCGACATGCCCGACGTTCTGGGAGTCACGTTCTGTTGTCGGGCCTGATGTTGATGCTGTGGCTGATGCTGTCGCTGTTGTCGCTGCGCCGGGCAGCAGGGAATCTGGCAAAAGCGAGGAGTGGTCTTTCCCTGGCAGGAGGGATTCCGGCAGAAAAGTGCCAGAGCCGCCGCCCTTTTCTCCAGCAACGGACTCCCCCATGCTTCCAAGAGTACTAAGTGTCGCGCGGGTCGCTGCTGCTCCGAATTTGTCGTACTGTGGGTCTCAATCGGCATGTGGTTGCGCGTGCACGACGGCTGGGAAGGAGGAGCGGATGCGGATGCGGATGCGGATGCGGATGCCTCGTACTTATCACGCACGCACGATAGATAATGACTTGACGACTGCCTGCGCACAAACGAGAGCACCACACATCAATCAATCAATCATACATTTCGGCTCCTCACACTACTTCGCACAATAACGTGCATGTCACAGCCGGCGACGTGTGCCCAAAATAGACTCCTGACCACAAGACCCTTGACATCATGGAGCGACGCTTCGGCTGGCTGACGGCCTCGGCCTGCATCTTGCATTACAGGCCACCTCGATTGTCCGAAGTCCCGATTGATATATCAGACTGGACGTGGACGGGTGAAATGTGCGATATCTGACCAGAGCAGCAGTAGTACTCATCATGCGCTTATTGGATCTGCAAAACACTGGTCTGATCCATGCAAGTGATCACATGTGAGGCTCAGGCCCCTGCCATCGGCACGCTCCGAAGTGTGGAGAGCTGCTGCTGCTGCGAGCTCGAGCACTTGGTGAAGCTCCACCACCCACCTCCATGCCTTCACAGTCACGCTGAGCGCATCCTTCTATTGCTACGGACTCATGCTTGATTCACCACTCGGCGCCTCGTAGCACATGCTCGCAAGATGGCCGGTCTCAACTTTGTGACCTTCAACCAGTACGCAGCCCGCCGCAGATCCATATCTCCACCGCACGCACTCGTATCAGTACTGAACCGCGGGCAGAGACCACAGCCTCTTGGCTGTCGCGACCACACGAGGACTACGAGTCTACAGCACAGACCCGTTCGAGCTCACAAACCATTCCTATGAAGAGGACATATCGCTGGTGGAACAGCTCTTCTCCACCTCGCTGGTGGCTATGATCCTGACTCCACGACTCTTGCGCATAGTCAATACCAAGGTGAGCAACGAGGACTATACGTGCATGCGCATGCGCATCCGAGGCAGAATGGACTTCTTACGTGACTGAGTAGCGAAAGCAGAAACATTCGACAATATGCGAGCTCACATTCCATGGCATGGTCGTTGCCGTCAAGATGAACAGGAAGAGGCTGGTGGTCATGCTGGAGGAGGTCGCGTTTATATATGATATCAGCAACATGAAGATGCTACACCAGCAGATGACACCCTTGAATCCGGGAGGCATTTGTGCAATCTCGCCGAACTCAGAGAACAACTACATGGCCATACCGCACTACCAAAAGACGCCGCAGAACCCCGCCACACAGCCGTCGCATGTGCCCAAATCAATAGTGAAGGAGTCGATTAGTGGAGATGTGCTATTATACGACCTCAACAGGATGGAGGAAGTCACAGTCATCCAAGCGCACCAGGCGCCTCTGTCATACATTGCGATCAACAACGATGGTACACTCATGGCGACATCCTCGGAGAAGGGCACGATTATTCGAGTCTTCTCAATACCAGATGCCAAGAAGCTATACCAGTTCCGAAGAGGCAGCATACCAGCACGAATATATTGCATGAGCTTCAATGCCACCTCCACACTACTTTGCGTATCATCCGCAACCGAGACCGTGCACGTGTTCAAGCTTGCACCACCTTCGGCCAATCCGAATAGTAACGGGCGAAGGTTGAGCTCCCCGTCGACATCGCCACGCCACGCCTCATTCTCTCGAGACCGAAGCGAGAGCCCTTCGTATTCTGAAGATCAAGATGCCCTGGACGGCGACCCAGTAGCTCTATCCAATGCCCCACAACCACGTCAGGCTGGATTCATGTCTTTGGTGAGGAGGACATCGCAGAATGTGTCGACTTCGCTCGTATCAAGGGCCGCTGGATACTTACCATCTTCCGTTACTGAAATGTGGGAACCACAGCGAGACTTCGCCTGGGTGAGGGTGCCTCGCGGTTCAAACGGACAGCCTGTGAGAGCTGTCGTGGCAATGGCGAACAACGTTCCCCACGTCATGGTCGCCACCAATGAGGGCGATTTCTACGTGTACAGCGTGGATTTGGAAAGGGGTGGCGAGGGAACTTTGGTGAAGCGATTTGAGTATGTGAAGAAGTGACGGGTTTCAGGCCACAGTGCTGATTATGATCACAGTGAGATCCACGGTCTCAAATACCGGAAGGGCCAGGACGGTGATGATTAGGAATCTGACTGAAAGGCCCACCGGGATGAAGCTTTTCGCCATCACGGCGACGTTGTAGCGAGCATTACAAAGGCCCTGCTGCGTCTGAACCTCATTGGGTCGACTGCTTGCTGGCCAACACGATCTCGAGCCGTTTACCAAAGACTGCGCAATGACAGTCGTTTAGCGATCTGAATTGCATTGAGACTCTCCTTTCTGAACTTCACACCAGTTTTGCATTCACGATCTGGATACGGGAAAAGGCGAGCGGAATGTTTGTGGACCAATCTTAATCACGATGCTATGCAATGCAGCGTTCATAGCGGCGGCGTCAGGTTCGGAGCATTACCATTCTGCAGACTCAGAAGGCGGCAAGAAGTTACGACTCGTTTTGTTTACCTCAGAAAAGCGCCTACTCTCGAAATGCCATATGTCTCAAAGTAGCATTTCATCATAGCGTATGGATATTCGTATCAGGTGCAAGATCTCAATTCGGAGCGAAAGCAAATGAGGTTCCACTTCATTCTCAAAGTCCCGCGGGATTTTCATTCATGCCTCATTTTGAACGAAGTAAATCAAGCCTACTTTTCTTTCTGCCTCTACCTCTACCAGTCCTTCTTCACCTCGAAACTCCATTCGAATTGCAAATGCGTAATATTGTCATCATCAACGAACTTGGAAACCGCATTGTACTTGCCCCTCCCCAGCATTCCAGATGGCGCGGTATCAGCCTCAAACTTCTTCTCGTACTCCGGCTTATCAGTCGTGCTAGGCGAGTAAGAGCCCTGAACAGACATTCCAGATCAGCACTCAGAAACCCAGCACGCGCAGCAAAAAACAAAAAAAAAAAAAAAAAAAAAAAACTTACAATCATCTCCTGCATCTTATTCTTCAACGGCCCACGACTAACGACCTGGAGATACTTCAGCCCGCTCAAAATCTGGTGGTTGACGCTGAAGCGGGCTTTCATGCGGAAAGTTGCGCCTTCTTTGATGGTGAAGGGGTGGTTTTTCAAATCTTCTACCGCGCCCGGCTTGCTGAGGTCGATGATGATGTCGGGACGTCCTTCGACTTCCAAGCCCAAAGATTTGATTATGACTTTTCGGGGGTCTTCGGGGTCGCCGATTGGTGTGCCCGTGCCGAGACCTAGGGATTCTTTCCATTTGCGCAGAGATTCGTCGTTTTGGTCTGTGTAGAGGAGGGGGGTTAGTTGGGGTTTGGGGTTTTCTTTGTGAACAAGATGAGGGAGATAGGGCTGCACTGGGGTTGGAATAATTCTGACGTCTGTGGATTGCCCGCCGACTCGTTCGGAACTGACCTAGTTGCTGGTACTCATCAATAGTCTTCTTCTCACCGACCTTGAAGCCCTCCGTGTGCTCCGGCTCAAGGTCCTCGTTGGCGCCCGACATGCTGAACCGCTCTGCTGTGTTCTTGCAGTGCGAAGGCACGATTTTGACCGTGTTGTTATGTGCCGCGCGTAATTTGGAGAGACGTGACGTTGAGAAACAACGGAGTCGAGATGTGCGTTTGTGTTTGGAGATTGGTTGGCTACCCCCCGCAAGTAAGCCTTCAGTGCCTCAGGCTCCAACATGGGTCCAACCAGTAACTACATGCACGTTCTGTTCTATAATATGGACTGTATGTATGCCTTGCTGCCCTTACATGGTCCGCCTCTACCATCTAGTCAGTCCCTCGCTCAGACAAAATAGCACTACCATCTCCCCGACTAGTGCATCGGTCTGTTGCGATTATGGTTGCGTACTCTTATATGCAGGTCCGTAGGCGATTGATGCTGCTCTGTCTCAATACATGCTTCACGCCACCCTCCGCGGCAACGGCTTTGTTATACGCCCTCAACTTATCAGTCTCCGCTTGAAGATTATTAGTATAACCTTGAGCATTGAATTGCGGGAAGTTGTGGTATGGAGGCAACTGCTGATTCGGGAACAGCTGAAGCAATACGGGCAATAGAATACGGGGTCGGCTTCGGCGAAAGCCCGTCAAGATCGCAGGGTCCAGCCGAGACTTGAACGCGATCAACATGCCGTCGAAGGACAAAACCACTACTACTTACCAGAAGGATTCTCGTGAGCGACGTAAGCCTGCGAACTTGACTATATCAGTCAAGCAGGATGGTGACACTGAGAGCCTAGACTCAACGTCCTCGTACGCCATTCTAAAGCCTGTTCAAGTTCGGTCAGAGCAAGAAGGAGAAGCAAGCCGGACAAAGCTCCTAGAACTAATGGTGATGAGGAGGAGGAGTGACCAGCTCGACAGGTGGGTGAATGAAGATAGGACCTCGCACGGTGCTCGCTAGGCGTGAAAATTACCTATTCAAATCTCCCAGCCACAACAATATACATTAACTAGTTCCATTGTACCGCGCGACTGCCGTGACGCCGTTCAATCCCCAGATTTCGCGACCTCAAGTGTTCCTCCTGTATTCCATGCCACACATATCGCCTGGTCTCGGAAATCTGCATCTGCTGCCATCGCAACCGTCTCGTGCTCAATACATTCAATTGTAATATACGACATCGATATTGCAGACAGAAAGACCGCCGCGCCGCGGGATCAGCTTCTCGCGCGTCACGTCTTTCGAGATCCGCCTCGGTCCCTTTTGCGACAGCGACAACTACAGCGCGCGACCTCTCCGCCACGTATCGCACGAGCGCATAGACCACCATGTCTTCGCGACCACACATATTGCCCGAGAAGCACAATGAGATGCTTGAGGAGCATCGCGCGCCCGATCGTACGTTGCATTCTGAGCAGAGAAGAGAGCATCGCCCGCGCGACAACCAGGCTGACAATACCCCTTACAGATTCAATCTTGACCGAACGACGCTGCTTGGGACAGACAGAGCTAAAAGTGAAGCCGGGTCAGATAGGAACATCGAATGCGACCAAGTTGGAGAACTTGGGCTTCCTCGATTACGCCCATCTCCGCGTCCCTCTGCCCAAGGATCTCACGGGAAGCGGCGTCTTTCAGAGAGGCTCAAACCGCAAGTGGCCAGAGGCATATTTCTTGATGGTAGGTGAAAGCGATGCGCCGGCGCATTACATCAAGACACTAAGGTAGACAACTAGCGACGATCAAGTGACGGCTTCATCAGCGCTACGGGCATGTTCAAGGCTGCATTCCCATATGCATCGGCAGAAGACGAAACAAGAGAGAAGGAGTACATTAAGAGTCTCCCTGCTGCATCTAGTGAAGAGGTTGCTGGTAATGTTTGGATTGACCCTAGTCAAGGTGAGTGGGGAATTTGATGGCAACACGTTGCGGGCCGTTTCTCATTCACTGCGCAGCTCTCGACCTTGCCGAAGAATACGGAATCAAGCTTTGGATCGCTGCGCTTCTCGATCCGGAACCCATCACTCACGGAACGTCTGATCCAAAGAAGTCAATTAAGTCACCACCACCATTTACCATGAATGAAGATGCTGCGAATGGCCGTACGCCTCCAAAGTCCGCTGCTAAGGGCGGACGCGGCTCTAGACGTGCACGCAGCATGCGCTCGGAGTCCCCATCGAAGGCCGCCCCAACTCCTCGCAAGATCGCAACACCACGACGGTCGCGCAAGACGCGAGGCGCGACCGCAAGCGTAGACGAAACCGCCTCAATCAAGGAGGAAGTGGAGGCAGAAATGAACGGCGATTATCAGGCAGACACGGTCAAGGTGGAGGTCGAGACGGTCACACTCCCCGATGCGAACGGCATAGAGCAGGTGGAGTCAACCAAGGTCAACGTATCGATGCCCTCGCATCACCCAGACCTGAAGATCCCGGAGAACGTGGAGGACATGATGGCGACAGCGCGCAAGATGGTGCAGGATGCAGAGAGGATTGGCGGACCTAGCACTCGCAAAGGCAAGAGAAAGGCAGAGGATATGGCGGAAGCGGACGATGAAGTTGGTCTTGATGGTCCATCGAAGCCAGGCAAGAGGGCGCGACCCTTGGAGGTAGAGCTGCGGAAAGAAAAGATCCGAAGGCGAGCTTACGCTGGCATCGCAGCCAGCTTGGTTGTAGGGTGCGTATCTCCATGTGCGAGCTTGTTGGACTACCTAAAGCTAACCTTTTCAACAGTGCCCTGATACCCACCGTCATGAGCTGGCTGTGAGAGAAATCCTTATTTGCATTTGAAGATACCACTGGGGCAGTCTCTGGAGTTCAGGCGATCTATATTGCTTTTCTGCAGAAATGCTTATGTATGGAAGTTAAGTCTGTGGCCGATGCCACACTGTTGGAAGACAATTGGAGATCGTGGGCGAGAGGAGAAGAATGTGCGCTGGAAAGAGGAAGATACCCAGCTTTCTCAAATCATCAGGCTGGAGAATGTTTATTTGACCACTTTGAACGTATAATGCAATGCCTATTCTGTTGAGCTATCAACGCCGCGAACAGTGCTGGTCTGGACTGGACAAGCGTGACAGCGTGGCTGTTCAAAGGGGATTTGTTATACCTTTGTTGTGGCATGCTCCACTCACGGCTCTGCTGCCGTCTCCGTGGCGCCGTTTCTGGCTGTTCGTTTCCGCAATGCTGGGCTCGGAAGACGCACAGAGGTGACACCACGTCGGAACCGGAGTCTCTTACGTGTGCGTACACGGAGATCGGCATAACGATCAATTCGCGCGAGATAACGTCAAGCTGAGCGATAGATATGACGAAAGAGATGTGGCGAAGACATCCGAAATGGTTTGCTTGATTCGCGCCTCTGCAATCGAGGACTAGAAAACCAAGTCTATGATACATCTGCATTTCAGATCAAGAGATCATAGCGAGATAGTATGCATGTATTGGTATCGCCACTCTCGTACTCGACCAATGCATGCCTCATGCACGCTCGCCTCTCCTTTCTCATATCCTCGTGTCATGATGACGTCCCCCACCATCGCCTCCCATTGCCTCTACAAATTTTGCTTGATGGCAGTCTCGAGGGCGGCTGGGTTGGCGCCGACGACTTCACCGACCTTCTCGCCGTTCTTGAAGAGGAAGAAAGTCGGCATAGCGCGAACGGAAAGCTCTTGCGCGACATCCGGGCACTCGTCGACATCGATCTTATAGAAGCGTGCGTTCTCGTAGGAGTCGGCAAAACTGTTTGTCCATTCCATGTCAGCTTGTGTTGCAAGGAGCGAGTAGATGTAGGATATTACTTACGCGCTGACCTTGGGCGCAATGACCTTGCAAGGACCGCACCATGTCGCGAAGCAGTCGAGGACAAGCAGAGTGTCCTTCTGGGCAAGGGCCTCGTCGAAGGCAGCCTTGTTCTGGAGGTTGTGCACGCCTTGACCCATTGTAGCTGAAGTGACGGAGAAAGGTCTGAAGTTCTGAAAGATGGGTTGGTATGTGGTTCGGAGAGTGGCGTTCGGTCTGTTGAAGCGCGCGGATGTGAGTAGTGTTCGTTTGAGAAAAGCTGAAGATGCTGAAGACATCAACAGCACAGAGTGTATGTAGTGGTTTGATGCTCGATATGTAATGGAGGCAAGGAGATTCGTAGGCTAGGTCGACTGCATTAATAATCCAGCCGACTCCCGAGATCGGGCAAGGGGCTTTCTTGGATCATGTTTTCCGCGTATGGGAAGGGCAATACTCACACAAAACTTTGGATTCGCAATCTGTTGTCAGTCGAAGCTGCTGGTGGCAAGGCAAGGCGTATGAGGAATCTTGATTGCTAAGGTGTACGGAAAGATGTTCACGACTCCCGAGGTCGTCTAATATTTCGAATGGCGTCAGCTCGTGCCCCGCCTCGTGGCCAGACCCTGGTCATGCAACTTCACTGCACATGCAGTTGCGTTCACATGCAGGCAATAAACGCTCGCGCCTCTTAAGGCTCTATCAACAATGCTGCTATTGAGATGCTGTGTAATGCACTCTCAAACAGCGACCAACTTGTGAGGCGCTCGATTATACTTGACCCTCGTCAACAAAGTCCTCACGCAGCAGCATCGCGCTCGCGGGCCTAAGAGGTTGAAAGAGCAGAACTATAGCACCGAGACCAGGGATTGCAGCTGTATCGATCTCCAGAGTTCGAGCGAAGAAGCTCATAAAATGGAGGGACCATGATCGCTATTGCGTTCGTAGAGACTGAGCCTATAAGTTAGCCATTCTTCGAGAGTATGGCCCCGAACCCACTACGCCACGGTCACAACGGCTATGCAGCACCTTCTTAACTCCAAATATGGCGACGAGGAACAGAGACTGAGAATGATACGTGGTGGCCGCGCGGGTTATTCGTGCTCGATGCGATTGATCTTGAGGTGAACTGGCCCCATGTGAGAATAGGAAAAGGTTAATTCACCTCACACTCGAAAGCTCACATCGACTCGAAACGGCAACTGCCGCTGCTGCCTCAACTTGTTATCTTTGAAGCTCGGCCCAGACTTCGCGACTCATCCATCAACACTACTACTGCCGCCAACATGCTGTCCAGCATCCGCCAGTACCTCTCATCGCGCCAACGCGCAAAGCCTTCTACGATGCCGGTAGTCGAGAAGCGGTACCAGACACCACCAGAGGCCACAGTCGAGGACCTGCCGACGGAGTTGCTGGCCGAAGTAATGGGCCACTATAGCCCTGTACCGAGAGATTATCGCACACTCTGTCTGGTCAACAAGCACTTCAACGCGGTGGCGACGCCATTCCTCTACAGCCAGTTCAGTAATTTGACGAGTTCAACTCGGTAGGTAACTATGCTCTTCCCCTTCCCCTGTTGAATGGTTTGGCCGCCTTCAACTAGGACATGGAATCCCTGCTCGTGGAGTGAAAACCAGGCGCTGCTATCGGCAGTAGATTAATGGAAGCGACTGACTGAAAGGGCGGATGGGGTAAGTTCACCTACTCACATTGCTGACTTGAACAGACTTCGCCTATTGCTTCGCACAATCACACAAGAGCCTGGACTCGCGCGCCATTTGCGTCAGCTCAACATCAAGTTGTGGTTGGGAGCTGCAGACGACCTTCCGAGCACCAAAGAAGTGATTGGCTACCTGGAAGCGATCCTACCATATGCAGCATGGCGCGATGTTCACTACCCATTGTCCACTAGCCTTCGAAACGCTGTTTACGACGCGCAGGTTATGCTGCTCCTGCTACTCGCCAAGAACACGCAGACGCTTCATTTCTACCTCCCAAGTCCACAGGAAGCCAGCAAATTCGGCGGAATCAGCCCAAAGTACGCAAGTCTCGGGACCATGTTACCACTCTTCCAAGTATTGGCTCTCGAACAGCAGATCCCAAGTATCCTGCCAGAGCTAAAGTCTTTGTAAGTGCTTCGGACTGATTACCGTCTTGAAAAGGAGACATGCTGACTGCTGCCAGGCACGTTCGCAATCAATATGATTCCATGGCCATTGGTGGGATTTCGACAATGGTCTGTGCGAGCTCGCACATAGTCAAGGATGCAATGTTCTTCCCGAAAATGGAAATCATCAGGGCAGATGCCATCTGCAGTGACAGAGGTACGCCAGTTGGCCCGCCCAAAGGTGGAAAATCTTCCGTCACCAGACTTCACCTCAGCCAATGCCATCTCGACATACCCACCCTGTCTGGTCTTGTCCGTACTTGCGCGAGTCTTCAAGAGCTAACCGTAGAGTGGTACGAAAATTTCATCACTAGAGCCGATGCTCAGGACGGTGAAATATCGGATCTGACCCTGCAACAGCTCTGGGAATCGCTTCAGCGTCATCGCAGCTCCCTTCAGCACCTCAAGCTTGTATTCAGAGCAGAAGCGGCCAAGTGCATCACAGATCGTCCAGCCTTGCGGTCTCTGGATGAGTTCTCTACGCTCGAGACTCTTTGCATAGATGACTACGCTCTTGCTGGCGCGCTGCAGGGCGAATATGTTGATCAGTGGGAAGTCGATGATCTCTTCAAGGACCGGACCAGCTTCCTGCCGCAAAATCTGAAGACCTTTGTCCTTCACACCCGCAAGGATCTCATCGACTCGAGTTCAGTTATGGCGCAAATCCACCACATGCTTCCTGAATCTTTGGAGCACCTCACAGTCACCTTCACCGACCTGGTCCCATCGTACTATCGCGACCTTGCATACACGCTAAAGCCTGAGTTGCCCAACTTGATGAGAACCATTTGCAGGCGTGGAATCTGCTACTCGCCGCACAACAGCTGGGTCGTTGAGTGCTGGAAGGGTGAAAATCAGAGCATCAAGCAGGGTTTGGTGGAATACGAGATGCAGTTGATTGATGGAACTCCAATGGAGGAGGACGAGGATGAGGTTACCGCGCAAGGCTAGCTCGGAAAACGCTGCAGTACTGGGCAGCGCAGTGCATGTGGCGATGCTTCTCACACGAAATGAATATTATCGGAGTCATGGCTTGGAGCGGGCGTATAAGTCAGAGACTCAGAGGTAGTGCAAGTGCTGAGCTAAGCACGGAGGCATGGCTTTGAGATGCAAGTAATAACACTTCTTGACCCATGATCGCAGCCTGAAACTTCCCTGTTCTCCTCGTGACGACGATGCAAGACCTCCTGCGAAGTCGAGTTTCACAAAAGCTTCGAGTCGCCGCCAAAGAACCTGTGCCTGTGCCTGTGCCTGTGCCTGTGCACCATGATCCCGTCCGGAGGCGGTCCCTTGCAGATAAAACGGAGGCTCCGATGTGGTGGTCAGCAAATCGCAACCATGTTCCACGACAACGTCAGCGCCGATTGAAACAGTGCAAGGCCAGAACGACTCGCAGTGACGGTGCGAGGGATGACGCCTTTGATCAACATGCCATTGTTTCGAAAGAGTAGTGTGGCCACAGATTGATGTGTCGATGTCTTTTTACATATTAAGCTTTGTTCGGCGGAACTTAAACTTCTGTGGACGCGTCTGCTTCTTGGCAACGGCGATCTGGCTCCAGTTCGCTTGCAGATTGGGGATTATTGGGACGCAGGTTGCACAACAACATTCGCTTTCTCAGCCTTGCCCATCCTATCACACAGTCGCTCTCGACACCTTTGCGCTTCTCCAGAATGTACTTCTACCACCGCTACCTACAGCAATAATTAATCCGCGCGAGTCGTGGCAAGAGCGAATGCGATAAGGGATACAGACCTGATACGGACATGGCAAAGCACCAATATGGCCTGGTCTTCGATGCTGGCTCGTCGGGCACTCGAGTCTACGTCTACCGGTGGAAGGACGCGAAACATGCCCGGAAGGAGGGCGACAAGGAGGATCTGAGGAGGTTGCCCGAGGTCAAGACCAAGAAGAAGTGGATCAAAAAGGTGCATCCGGGCATTTCTACCTTCGGCGATAAGCCTGAGGCTGTAGGAGAACATCTGAAAGAGCTAGTCGAGTTTGCGCAAGATATTGTGCCCAAGGGCGAGGTGGAAAATACGCCGGTATTCCTGCTTGCGACTGCGGGCATGCGATTATTGCCGGATCACCAAAGGGCTGATGTGCTGAGATATACGTGTGCCTACTTTCGAGAACATACCCAATTCCAACTGCCGGATTGCGACCTACACGTACAGGTTATTCCGGGCGAGACTGAAGGTCTCTACGGCTGGATTGCTGCGAATTACCTTCTTGGAGGCTTCGATGCGCCGGACGATCATGATCATGGAAAGAGTCACCACACTTACGGATTTCTTGATATGGGAGGAGCATCGGCGCAGATTGCGTTTGCGCCAAATGCAACGGAAGCTGAGAAGCACGCCAATGACCTGAAATTGCTGAGGCTGCGAACAGTGGGAGGCCAGCAGATGGACTATCGAGTGTTCGTAACAACATGGCTCGGCTTTGGAGCCAATGAAGCACGAAAACGATATGTAACACGACTTCTCGAAGCGTCGCCGAATGCTCATGAGCTACCGGATCCGTGTCTGCCTGTCGGCATCAAGGTCAAGACAACTGGTGAGGAGATTGCACCCGGGTCCAGTGACTTGCAAGGGAAGGAGCCTTATCTGGTCGGCACAGGTGACTTCACGCAATGTCTGAAGGGCACGTATCCTCTCTTGGAGAAAGAGAAGGAATGTAAGGATGCGCCTTGTCTGCTCAATGGTCAACATACCCCTGCGATCGACTTCGATGTCAACCACTTCGTTGGCGTCTCCGAATTCTGGCATACGACACACGAGATCTTCGCGAAGGCCCACAAAGACAAAGCCTATGACTTCCAGACGTATCAGAAGCAGGTCACCGACCTCTGCTCACGAGATTGGGCAGACATCGAGAAAGATGTCGCAAAAGAGAAGTGGGGCCACGAAGTGGATGCAAAGACGGTCGAGGAAGTGTGCTTCAAGGCGAGCTGGCTGATTAACATGCTCCACGAAGGTATCGGAGTGCCAAGAGTCGGAATTGAGGCTGGCAAGAGTAGTGGATACAACAAGACCAAGGCTGTGGTTGAAAGTGCCAAAGATCGCGGCTTTCTGGATCCTTTCCAGGCTGTCGACAAGATTGATGGCACTGAAGTCAGCTGGACTCTCGGCAAGATCGTCCTCTATGCATCCTCGCAGATGCCACCTGCAGAAGATGCACTGGCCGTGGGCTTTGGCAGTAATACGCAAACCACGCGACTGCCTCCTGACTGGCAATATCCTGCAGCCGGCCTTGACTCCTACCCTGCGAACGGAACCATGCAAGCGGAAGATCAGGACTGGCACGACAAGATCCTCACCAGCACCTACTCGCGTCGCATCCCAGGCATCCTGATCTTTCTGCTTATTATGGTCCTTGCCGTCTACCTACTCTGTGGCCGTGAGCGACGCCAATCCTGGTACCAAAGATATCTTGGCGGCAAGTCCTCGTCATTCAAGTCGAAGAAGAAGCGACCGGGTATGCTTAGTGGCAAGCTCTTTGGCAACAACTCTCCCTCCTACGAGCGAGTGCTCGAGGAAGCCGATCTAGACGACTTCGAACTAGCTGAAGTTGACTCCGAGCACCTCTCAGATTCCAGCACTGATGCAGACGCCGTGCGAATCGGCCGTACATCCGGCATGGTCACTCCAGCAATGCGAGCCTTGTCACCTGATTTCACCAGAAACTCTCCCATCAAGTCAAAGGGCTTTTTCGACCCCTCTGGCATCGCGACACCTGTCACCACCTCACATGGCCTCGGCATTGGTGGTGCAATCACGCCTTTCGAACGTTCTGGCTTAATGGCCAGGAGCGAGAGCACTGACCGGCTTGCTCCGGGAAGTAGAAGTAGGAGGACCAGTCCCAGTCGGAAAAGTCCTTTGATGACACCTTTTAAGGAGAGTGTTGATTGAGGGGATGAGGAGGAGTTAATCACGAAATTTGGATTTTCTTGTTTTCGTCATCATGAAAGCGAAGGTGCTTGTGGAGTTTTTGAATTGGATGCAATGAAATGAACGGGGTTTGGACACTGACACTTGGGTTTACTACCACTGCCGGGAAATGTGGCTAAGGTATAATGATGTGATGCTTTGGTGCGAAGTTTTCTATAGACTTCTTTTTGATCTTGTCCATACGCTTTTAAGAGATGCCGTCTTGGCTTTTTGATTTGTCACATGCGGTTTCTGGGAATATCGTCTCATACTTTGGACAGCGGATTGGCATAAAGTGTGGAGGTCCTTGTGAGTGAGCCGACGAGGGTGCGTGCGATCGAACCATGTGAGCGAAACCAGAGGAGCATGACAAAGTCCTAGAAACTATGTATTTCATGTTGCATTTGAGCGCGCGGACCGTGATTCGATAATTGCGGCAACGACCACAGCCATGGTCGTCGACACCCAGAGCTCAAAGCTACCTAGTACCTTACGAGCTCAAGCGTCTTGATGCAGGCACGCTAGGGCTACTCAACGCATTCGACAGAACATTGCTCAACTTCGTGCGTATTCCTCCAATCGTCGCTTCTGGATTGCATAGCATATACGCTATGCAATCACGAAGCTTATCAGATGGTCCGACTGCCAGATCTTGCGGTAAGGCCCCTCGATGAAGCGACTGCAAGGTGTCGCGGCGCTCCATTTGGGTATTGAATTTGCAGAGAAGTTCGCACGTGATCACCCCAAGCGCGTAGATATCCAGGTGAGGCGATGGCGGACTTGAGGTCTTGCTCGTAGGACGATAGATCTCAGTCCCTACGGCGGCCTCGGCCGCTGCATCAGAGTTGGGTTCGCCGCTTGCAAGCTGCGTGACGAGACCGAAATCACCAATGCAGATAGACAGCTTGGCTGGGTTTGCTGATCCTGCAGAACGACATTCGGAACAGAGGAACAGGTCGACACAGCCATGCGCAGCTCTCGGATTGCTTTCGTGCCTCAAGAAGATATTCGCGGGCTTCAAATCGCGGTGGACGATGTTCTCTGAGTGGAGATACTCCACGCCGTCCAAGAGCGAGTGGAGAATTTGGAGCGATGGTTCGAGGTGAAAGCAATGTGAAAGAGGGTTGACGGCGCCAGTTGAAGGAGGTGCCAAAAAGTCTGCCAAGGTCATTTGGTGCACACTCATTTGCATGTGGAGCGCTAAAGTCGGTTGCGTTGTCGACAAGGTGACTCCGTTCGATGCTTCGGAGAAGGAACGTCCGGAAAGTTCTCGAGACGCATCGTCGCTGATATTTGACCTGATGTGCTGTTCGGATGAGTCCAATTGTGATGCGTTTTGACTGCTCTCGAAAGTGATCGCGAGTTCTTCCGTATCGCCTTGAGTCTTGACACGGTGAAATGATTCGAATGATCTCGAATCCGACTCCGTCTCCTTGACACCAACAACACTCTGACTTTCATTTGTGGCCATGAAGACATTACTGGAGCTTGAGTTCTGTCCAGTACCAACCGACCACTCGATCCAGCTGTTGAAGTATCTCACTACGTTTGGATGCTGGAGTCGCGACAAGCTCCGAACTTCCGCCAGAAGCTTATCCAGCGCAGCCTGTCCGCCTGTAGAGATTTCGTTGATCAGTGAAGGACGGATTGGAATCTTCTTGACGGCATAGATGCAATCGTCCAATTTATGTCGGACCTGGTAGACTTCGCCGAAGCCTCCTCGACCAAGCACTCCAATCTCTTCGAAATCCTGCACATATCTGCTTGGCAGTATGGACGGAATTGCGACGCTGTCAAGGAGCGAGACGGGGCTGCTGGGTGTGGATGATTCGCCTGAAGCTGTTAGGAGCCTTCTTACAGGAGCTGGGACAGCTGCCTGCTGGCGTCCAACAAAAGAACCCGACATAATATGATTCAGCCCATCGCGAGCGACTTGCCTGGTAGACCGATGTTGATCTCCGTGAAGATCAGGCGAGACCAGATGCAGCGAGGCAAGCTGAGTGGAAAGCCGTGTGTAGACTTCGTGTACCTCGCGCTCGATATCATCCTTGTCGTTCAAGTCCCGCCCTTCTCGGCGTCTCCTCTCAAGCACCTGTGTCATGCACCTCTCCTCTAGAAGCGCATGTAATAAGAAGTCACGACCTGATCCAGGGCCTTGGCGCGACTGCCCCAAAGCGAGCGCATTGTTATGGGCACCGGCGCTGTTCTGAGGCTCCCGAACGTTTAGTTGTGAGACGGAGTTGCTCCAAATCTCCTCGCTGTCTTCGTCGTCACTGCTGGACTCACTGTCGCTCGAGTTTGCCGATCTGAAAAACTTGGACATGTTGCTGCATCTTCGATGTCCGGCTGCAAGAGCACTCTATTGGGTCGGGCAGGCGTGATCGGAGTGTCTTGTTCGGCAATCTATCTGGGTTGGGGGCGGTCTCCAAGATCTCTGGTCTGTACTGAGATTCGAGAAGAAGAAGTCTGCATCTAGCTGCCGCATTGAAGTTGTTGAAGCCGAATGATCATGTCGAGAAAAGACTTGAATGTCGAGAGTCAATGCACAGGGCGCAATTGATGTTTCGCGAGGCTTCTGTAAACTTCGAATGGGCGACAAAATAATGTACAAGCATTGAATGAAAGGTGTTCGATTCAGCACAGTCATCTGGTCATCCGAAGGGCGAAGTCGCGTGGCGAGCCTGAGGCAAGCACGAAACTTAGCGTCAACCTTAAATCGTGAACATATCAAACAGGCTTTGCGACTTGGACACACGACGACTCTTCCGTATCGGGAAAAGCACCTCAGAATGGCCGATGCAGACGAAGACGTGGTTCCACGGGGAGGGACCGGCGGCGAGGATGTCGACCTCTCTGATGAAACACAAGATTTCCGATTTTTGAGCTCCATCTCGTGAGTACGAAGTCCGTCGTGCCTCCAAGATACATGCTCACGTTAGAATAGTCGAGAAGACGCAACAATACCCAAGCGTGGTGAAAAGGACTTTGAACCGCATGCCACGGCTCTTCAATCAAATACTCTGGCGGCATCCCGGCAGGCAATGCATAATGCACTTTCATACCCGAGAATTCATCATCCTAACGGATACACATATGCCGTCTATCACCCGGAAAGTAACATGGCCTATTCTCAGAACCCCAAAGGTGTGCTTTTCTCCAAGATGGGTCAAGTACTCTCAGCTGCGGACGACCCGCTAGGCAATGACGAAGGCCGAGGGCAGAGGTTATGGTTCTTACCTGAGGAGATAATCTATCTGATCGAGCGAGGGACTATGGACGTAAGGTGGCCTAGCGCAGAAGGCGACCAGGAGCTAGGACTACCGATGAGTCTTCAAGGCGCATATGCTATGTTCCTTGGTGACGAAGCATCCCACAACGGCGCACTTACTCTCGAGCGGTATTCTGTCTATGCGAACTTGAAGAGACTAGGGTACATCGTAATGCGCGCACCAAGCTGGGACAGCGCCGGCCTTCCATTGACCGACGAGCACTATCCGAAGACCGCGGCCACTACACGTACGTGGCAAGCTGGATTTCTCACTGCTACCTCAATATTGAAAATGTTCTTTGGCGGCGACCCAGGGCAGGATCAGAAATGTCATCGGACTGGCCCAATGATCGCACCAGGTCTCTATCGGGACTATATTCACATCTATCAACGGCTGGCGCTCATCAGTTTCTACGATCCGCGCAGTAGAAGAGCACCTGCAGAGCCCGAGCTGCCCAACCCAGATCCGAATTTCCGCGTCACCTACCACGTCTGGAAGCCCGGTTCGTCAAATTTCAAGAAGACGGCGCCAGGACATCCGGACTTTCGCATTGCTGTCGTCAATGCTAGGGAGACAGCAGTCCCGACGCTTGAACAACTGAGCTCTCTGATTGACACTGTACCCTACTCCCCACCAAGGGATGACGCTTACTTCTATGCTAAGCTGAAGAATGGGCACAAGAATGTTATCCTGGCAGTCGTAGATCAGGGCATGACGAGCTATCTCCGGATTGCAGATGCTGCATTTGGATGTGAAAAGATATACGAGCGCAAGGCAAGAGGTGGTGGTGCAAAGCGGGGAGGCAGAGGAGGACGAGGCGGTGGTAGAGGAGGTCGTGGGCGAGGTCGTGGATGAAGTCTCCTTCCTTCATGGCCGGATCTCTCTTGAATTCGTCTGCGAAACACGACAGCCTTCTTCGATTGACACAGACCGCCGATGCAGACTGTCAATGGGCTCACAGTTACCTGAAAGGTCAATCGTCCATTCAATATTCACGGCGAAGTTTGCTATGGTTACTTGAACGGACAGCGGCTTTCCAAGATCCAGATCGGATCCCCATAAGAACAGGCAAATCTCGATAGCCTTTTCCGCGGCTCAAGGGAGCAGCGAAAACCAGATCTAAAAGCAAGAAGCACTGAATTTGCTAGTGCTTTTGCTCATGGATGAAAGGCGCTATCCAAGACAATGACCCATGGCAAGTTCGAACATTAGATCCAAAGTGAGTACAGTTCCTCCCGTATGTGGTATCTAACGCTTGTATACTCCTTTCAACGCCCTTCAAGCACCTGTTCATCACGCATCATTAAACCGTTCGCCAGGCTTACGGGCAGCTTCTCAGACCGGAGAGAGTCGCTCCGTGACTCGGTATCGACCTGTCTTTGCACAAGACGTGTGCCTCTCAGTCCTCCACGCCGATCTCCTCTGCTAGGAACAACCAAAACCCCATTGCAAGAACTAAAAGAACCAAAAGCGCAACCAAAGAGCATTGCCACCAGGTCGATTCCGTGCTGACTCTTCCACCGCGCCGCCCATCTCGTTCGAAGACCTCGCTCTCTTGCACGGAGACATTAATCTTTCGACTCCCAATCGCATCCCAACACGAAGCCACGTTATCCGACCCACGATACCGCCGCACTCTTTCCTTCTCCAACGTACCATATCTTGCACCATGTTCTCTGAGCACTTGTGGGAGGAGCGGGGTCTTTTCCATGGCCCGCTCTAATTCCGGCGCATATTGCTCAACATCTTCGGCCCAGTCCATGACTCTGACGACTAGATCCCGGGGGCTTGCGGCGCCTGGACGGGAGATTGTGAACAGTCCTAGTCTGGCGGCAAATGCTTCGCTGTTTATGCTTGGAGAAGAAGTTGATGCTGAGTCGGAGCTTGGGTAGCTGCTTTGCAGTATTCGAGACTCCTGATATTGATGTCGGCCGAAGGAGTTGTCCATGCGTGAGTGGAACTTCTGAAATGCAGAAGCGTGACTGTCGATGGAGCTCTCGGAGCTCGATGATGTGGATGAGCGACTTCTGCTACGCTTGGTCGGCTTCAATGCCTTGTATGCGCCTGCTGACATCTTGGTAGCGACACGGTGGGCAGCTTTGAGAATTCAGATGGGTGATCGCAGCGCCCATTCGCTTGCGCCACTTCGAATAGCCGACGTAATGTAGATGTTGAAAATGTATCAATGTAGCCGCCACCTTCGCCTAAGCGTGGCAATTCGTGCCTTGTAGTGGTATTTCAATGCCCTCATTCAACGTCCCTGTGAGAAGTCACCAACCTCTAGATCTGATGAGGCTTGTGAACTTGTGCTCCCATGGTCAGATCATCTGCCAACAGCTGTGCAACCTTTCACACTCTATACCTCGTGGCCATCAGACATGCTAATGCACATTCAACAAGAAGAAGAAGAATGTCAAACTCCCCTTGTGTGCCGCCATGATCTGCCTATTTTCCGGCATTGCGCTCAATTACTGCAAGAATTTCTGCGCCGCCTTTTGTGCTTGCTCTGTTACGGAGAGTAGGCTGGAGCGATAGGCGATTTTTTTGAAGCTGGGGTCTGCGTTGGAGGTGTGGGTCTTGTGCGATATCGTGTTTGCGTGTGATCTTCGGCATACCGCGTCTTCGAGAGGGGTAGTGCGACTGGAATGTGAGTCTGCAATGTTAATGGCCTCCAAAGTCGTGAGCTTCATGGCAATTCCAAATGTGTTCGCAAAAAGGGCGGAAGAGCTGCTATGCACATTCAACCTCACCATCCGACAAAAGAGACAGAGCCCACGGTATCCTTATTGTCGTGTTTGCCCATGTTCACAGCTTCCCTTTGAACATCTGCACACATATTGACACCATTCGCGTCCGGAGTCGACGCACCGCAAAGCAAAAGTATCTCCCAGTCGTCGCGCTTTGCCCCAGTCTCCCGTCTCTTCGCATCCTGTGCGGCGGCGGCGACGTGAGCGCAGTGATATTTGTAACATCGTTTCAAGTCGTCGGACGCATGGTGTTCGGTGACAGATACGTGTGCACCCTCTTCTCCAAGTCCCAGTCAACGACCAAGGTCTTGATGAAAAGAAAAGACCTGTCAGACGACCAACAGCGCCCACCTGAAAGAGCCGGCCGAAGCCAGACGCTCGAGCAGGGCGAGATCATCGCCAGCAACAGCTCGCGCTGCCACTATATCGGCTTCACTCTTGGGCACCGCGGTTCGACTCATCAGCCAGGTTGGAGTCTGTAGCTTCTTTGAGAAGAACAGTTGTGGATGTTTACTATAGAAATGATTCTATGAAGTACTGGAAGATCGTTAGCTGGCGTGCGCGGGCAGTATAGGGGTGGTTAGGGTGCACTCACAAATCGCTGAAGAAGGAAGAAAGGATTCAGCAGACGCGCGAACGATATTCTCCAAATTTTGCCAAGCACGCTAGCGGGAGCGCGGACGGGATGAGCTGCGCTCGTCGTGATGACATCTACAACCTGGCTCGAGTGTGAAGAGGATGCTGTAAACACATCGTCTCGCGAACTCTGGTCTCACATCCTCCTTCATTGTGATCCGGCACATCGTATTGGCATTCAATGGTTCGGATTTCTCGGCGAATCGCAATGCACCAAAAGAAGCCATCGTTTCATTCGCTCGCCGGCCTTGGTAAGCAACATGGCCGGCTACTGGACGCCTTGGCTGTCGAATGCTGGGAGAGAGAACGATGGTACCAACGAGATAACTACTAATACAATATCAATTGGAACTGCCGCATCCTCTGCCCACCGCTGTTGACTCGGGAGGATTTTCGCGCGTAAAATTCTGCTCCCCCTTTCTCTTCTCTGCAGCCTCGCGTTCACTCAAGACTTCAGTCTCAGCTGCTTCCACCGCGAGAACAGAGCAACAAGCATACCACAAGCATACCACAAGCATACCACAACAACTCTCAGCACAAAGAGAACACCACTGACACCACCAAACAAACCCCAACAATTGCGAAGGAAAGCCGCTTTGCAGCGCCTCCAAAATCGCAGCAAAACAAAAATTCAAGGTGTCCAGGTTTCTCTGCGTCTGAAAATCCAATAAAGAACAAAGAACAACCAAAGACTGTGAAGGAAAGCCGCTGTGCAGCGCCTCCGAAGTAGCAGCAAATTCACGAGGCCAAATTGCCTCTGCTTGTGAAAAATCCAATAAACTACAAAGAACAACTAAAGACTGCGAAGGAAAGCCGCTTTGCAGCGCCTCCGAAGTAGCAGCAAATTCACGAGGTCAAATTGCCTCAGCTTGTGAAAGATCCCAAATTCACTCGGGACTTTTTTGCTCTGATTCACTACACCAGCAAAACGCTGACGAGGCTCACTCCATATATACACAACTACATACAAACCTCCACATATAAACCTCCACATCACCACTCCGAATCATAATGGAGAACTCGGCCGTGGAGATGATCAGCAGCTTGGAGCGACAAAACGCCCAGCTGCAGGCCGAGAACAACCAACTTCGAGCACTGCTGGAATGCCATGGCATCGAAGTCGATATCACGACTGCCACGCAGCAGTCTCCCATCGAGACCAACGAGGACTTTGTCGGTGATGAGAATCCCACCGACATCGAGACCTCAGATTCCGCCTCCTGCACAAGCAGCAGCTGCAGCGACGACATATCCTCTGAGTCCAGTGCATCCACATATGCCAGTAGCTTCTCAGACACCACCAGCATCTGTGGCAACGAATGGACTTTTGAGCCGTCCACAGATGACTGGACAACAGGAGCGGAATCTGCTCCTCAAGAAGTGAACAGCAACTGGGACAACTCCACACCGGTTGCCCCTATGATTCAACAGCACAAGCAGGTCACTCCTGCAGATACCTTTTTTGAAGAAAGCGAGCTTGCTAAGCGTACAAGACTGGCTGACGACTTCGACAAGACAAATGCTGTCTTTGTCAGGATTCCGAGCACGAGGCTGAAGCACTTCCTGACAAAAGCTGTCGACCACGCTCAAGAAGTCATTTTCCGAAGCTTCAGCAAACTCGCACCAGAGGAAGCTCCACGAAACTGGGACGCACCTGCCTTCGTCAGCTTCGCTCGAGGTGATCTTCAAGCTCTCCCGGAAAGCATACCATTCGGGACCAACACAAAATTTGGCGACAGCTTCGATGCAGATATCGAAGTTGTTAGCTCGGCGATCATTGAGACATACGACGTCCGGAACGCCGCCGCTCACCTGGGATATCTCACATCCTGGGCAGTAGACGAACTGCTCACCCGGGTTCATCGCCTCGCCATCGTCATGCAAGACGAAGGCGCTGCAGTCAAGATCCGCAAACTCCGTGATCAACTGCAAATGGAAGCCCAGCAGGGTCTTGAAAAAATCAAGGCAGGCTGGCAAGATGGCACACGACCACCAAAGCACATCGAGCGAACGTTCGAAGACTGCTTGTGTGCCAAGCCGACAGAGTGGAGCAAATTTCCACAAGTCATTCGGGAGGCCGCAGAGGCCTGGAAGCAGATGTATGATGAGTCTCACTCGACTAAGCGATCTGGCTTCATCTACCACTACACGACGGTCATGGACAAGACCGGAAATTGTGTCAAGTGGGCGGTTGCAGCGCTCGATAGTGCGCAGCAGTTCACCCAAGACATGAACGACAAGTACAACCGCCCTTATCGTGTAGAAGCGGCACGTCAACGTGAGATCCGCTGGTGAAGCATTCTTTCACCTGGTACTCGCTTCCACCTCAGAGAAACAACTGAGGAACCGAATTCATTTCTGCAGTCAGCAACGAAACCCGCACCAAGAGAGCGGCTCGCTGCACTTGGCGACACAAGTTGACACACTACTTATCCACCTGACTGAACGCTTCTGCTAGACAGCAGAGAGCAAGCGACTGCCTTCTCAATCGCAGTCAGCTAGACGCACTTCAATCAAAGAGATGCGTAGGTCGCCAGGGCAGGTAAAGGAACAAAACCGGTGCCGCCCTACAAAACACTTCTGCATGCGAACAGTTGCTTTGCAGCACAGTCGTAATTGCAACGAAGTAAAGCTCCTCCGAACAGAGGGATTATGAACACTTACGCGTGTATGCGTTTGAACAACTCCGCTAAACAACAAGGAGCACGCTACTACAGTCACAACTATCGTTGGCTACACGCTTAACATCAATGAAACGAACCTAGCGCTCGCAAGTGATGTGACAAAAACACATCACATTCCCTTGCGAAACGCTTCTGCTTGCGAACAGATACTACGCAGCACAGTCGCAATTGCAGTCAAGCACGATCTCTCTACTCGAAGGAGAGACGAAGCAACGCCTCAAGGATGAATTATTCATGAGGCAGGTGAGAGATGACAGACTCCCGTCTTCACCTGACCGAACGCTCTTGCTTGGGGACAGCTACTGTTCAGTACAGTCCCCTCATCGAGCAATGGTCGAAAGGCATGAAGGGAGGTTTTTATGGATTGATTAATGAGTGGGTGAATCAAGGCCCAGAAACGAATGTGGGGAGAAGGAATGACAAATGAATAACTGGCGGTGGAATGAGAAATGAATAACTGGTGGCGGAAGGATAATGGTAATCATGAAAGGAAGGGAAGAGAGAGGACTTTTAAAGAAGCAGCGGACGGCCACATCTCTTACAAGAAAGAAGTTAGAGCTGGTGAGGCGCGACGGTACAGGGCGAAGGTCGGGGCCCTGTACGGAACTGCTTGGCATAGTTGATGAGATATAAAGAAGTAAAAACGGGCGACCATATCTCCTCAAGCAGGAAGTTTGAGTTGGCGAGGTCGACGGTACAAGGCGAAGGCCGGGGCTCTGTACAAAACGTGCGAGCAGATGAATGAAGTCATGATGAAATAAATGATATATATAATACATCTCATCCTAAAGCCCCGAATCATCCATCTCATAAACACACTCCTCACTCCCCCACCAACCCCTCCAATCCCCACAAGTCTTCTCAAAATCCCCCAGATTCCCCAGCGCCCCCAGAATCTCATCCTTACGTTCCAAAAACTGCATCGAAAGCCCTTGTCCCACATGCCAAGGAATATGACAATGCATCAACCACAGTCCCGGATTATCAGCAGGGAAACCTACGACGAGATAGCCTCCCGCAGGTAATGTGGCCGTGTCGCGACGTGAGGGGTTTGTGAATTTTAATCCGGATTTGTCGCCATCAAAAAGACCGGATCCTGAGCCGAGGATGTAGAAGTCGTGGCCGTGGAGGTGGATGGGATGGGGGAGTTGGACTACGTCGCTTTGGTCGGCTTGTATGACCCAGAATGTCCAGGCGTTGGCGGGACGGTCGATTTCGAAGACGTTGGTTTTGGATTCGAAGGTGTAGTTGCCGTCGAGGACGTTTTGGAGGGTAGGGTGTTGCCAATTCACGCGGATATCGCTGCCGTTGACGAGCCACTGGACTAGAGATCCGCCGTCTGCAGTCGTGGTTCCGTTGAAGTCCACGATGAAGGATTTTATGGCTGTGTCGAATTCATCGGCTGGCACGATGTTGGAGACATATGGTGTCACGGACTCATCGTAGCAGGCTGTGGATTTTGTAATCGTGTTGGTGGAGGTTGGATCGTCGGTAGAGGCACCTTCGTAGCGAATGATGGAGAGAATGTTGTTTGGTTGCGCGTTTCTTCCACAGGCTGTTCCGACGTCTGCCCGTAGCCAGTAGTTCCCCACTGCTTGATTAGCATTGACAATGATGTCGTAGCGCTGTCCAATTCCGATTGCGACGGAATTCGTGGTATAGGGCTTGATAGGAACGAAGTCAGATGTGATGACTGTGAAGTTGTGGTTATCGATGGAGACATGGAAGATGTTGTCGATACCCGTGTTGATCAGCCTCAGCCGGTGTCGTTTGCCTTTTGTAAATTTTGTGACGTGGTAAGCGCCGCCATGCTCAGACTTCATAGTTCCATTGATCAGTCCACCGACAGGAGTGGGAGGACCTCTAGTGCTATGCATGGCCTGTTTATTGAGCGTGAATGCCGTTTCGTGGTACCAATCTGTGATTGCCAGGGTGCCAGAGTCGAGGTCGTAGTTTCCGCTTGCCGGGCCATTAATCACGATTGCACCCACGACTCCATCGCCATACTGCGCTGAGAAGTGGCTGTGGTACCAGGACGTTCCGAACTGCGTACATCGAATTACATATTGCTTTGTCGAGCCAGGTGCTATCGGGCATTCAGTAACACCATTAACGCCGTCATGCTGGCAAGAGTTGAGTTGTCGCAGCCCGTGCCAGTGAATGCTCGTTCCATTATGTTGAAGTGAGTTCTTGACATTAACAACCATGGTATCTCCCCAATCTGCATAGAGTGTTGGACCAGCTGATTGCGGTTAGCCTGTGCGGTTCACGTCATGATTGGTGCTTCTCACGATATTGGCCGTTAATAGCCATGATCAGCCTCTCGTAGCCGTCTGGTGCCATAGTGGTATTGGTTATTTCGAGATTATATGTCACAGTCTTTCCTTCAGGTGGGAGCTTCGCGTCGAAATCTGTTGCGATGCTGAAGCCGGTCTTCCAGCAGGCTCTGGTATTCGGTCCATTCGTGCACGCAGCATCCGGTACGCGTGTGGTGCTGCTGGCTTGTCGAGGTTCCAAAGCGCCATCTTCCCACGCGAGCTCAACTACAGGAGTCGGAAAGGCCAAGGAATGAGCTGGTTTGATAGTGGCTACAGCGTATGCCAAGCTGAACAAAGTTAACGACTTCATCACCGCAGTCTTATGCCCTCTTTGCAACGAATGACTGAACCAATGAGATATCTACCTTGGCCAATATCAGCGAGAGATGGTTTTATAGAGTGTGGCAGCTTTGCTGCGCCTCGGAAGAACGACCGCTCCCGCTCCCCACGGCACTATGCTTGTGGTGGCCAGCCTGTCTGCGGCTGATGCATGCCACCGAACTCCACGTGGTCGAGACGTTGCAGTTCTCGTGCTAGGCATCCTATGATACGTGACGGAGAGTAGAAGAATAGATATGCTTGGCGCCACAGGTGCTGAGAATGTAGGCGAGTGTGGCGAGAATTTCTGCTCGTTACATTCCCTGATCCTAGGGGTTTGAATGCGAGGACATCAGGCGGCTACGGACTCCGTGCGCAAGGAGGACGCTCCGCACAGACGAGGCGGTGTGGTAAGGATGGTGGCGTAGGAAAAGTCGTCGGCAGGCCCCTTGGTGGACTCACATTGCCACAAATGGTGATGCAGAATCCAGATAGCACTTAGATTTAGACATTTCAGCGACCAAATTCAGGCTGACCGCCGTTCCGAGTATTGGAGGATGCACCACTAGTTCCCCTGCCTGCTGTCATCAATAGTCCGTGCTTGTTGCCTCTGCTGTGGAACGTCGTGTGGTCGCCCGATCTTGGCTGCAGAACATATTCTCCCACTCGCAACGCAGGCTGCCTGTGACTCGTGAGATGGCTCGTACACAGATTCCGTATCACCAGATTTGGAAGTTACCACGACGCTGGGATGTCAGTGCTACGTCTCAAGCCTGAACAATCGTCGCCATTTCCATCTCGTCTGCTAGTCGCGTGTCGACGAAAATCGAGTTGAATCCCTGCTTCGCTCGCGTGTTGTCTTGAGATAGCGCCGGCGACCACGCTCAACTGAGCGGCCACCGGGAATCCATGCCTGCCACGGGCCACGGCCCACAATATTCGGAGTACGGAGGAGCTAGTACAGTATTCATCACTCGTAGACGAGGAGTTGCATCCTGCGCCTAGGGATGTGAATCCACCGTGGATTAGCAATCGTCCTTGTATACACCTCGTAATATACGGGGATTACGGGTATATACTAGGTATATATAAGAGAGGGCCTATACTAATACCTCGATATCTTAGGGAATCTATAACGTATTAGCTTAGTTATATAACTATTATATAACTTCTTAGTATATAAAGAATCTTTATACTATTTTTTAGTCTATAGAATAGATAGAATATAGGCAATTAACGAAGCTAATTTAACCGCCGATAATATGGTACTACGTAAGTAATTAACTACGCTATACGTAATAGAATCGAACCGCTAAGCCTGTATCTCGGCTATTATCCGCGTATTACATAACTCCTCTATAGGTGTATACCAGGCATCCGACCTCGAGGGCTGTGTATATGGTGTATTACACGCTATATACACGATACAATGGATGGTGGGCCCCATCACTACCTCCGCCTGCTATTTTGAACTCGGGATGAGGTCGTCGCTGTCTGGACGATCTGATCCCGTCTTGGCGAGCAAGGATCTCAACCTAAATTTAGCGCCTCTCCTCGCCAACGACATCTCTGCTTCACGCCTTTCTCCGTTGCGCAGAAAAATTCTCCTAGTTGCATCATGCATCTGCTCCGTACCTACTCGCGACTACGCAGACGGGCTGCGCAATCATCTTTCGAAGCGCTGGGCCAGCAAGGTCTGCGTGCTATCTCCACTCCGCAAAGCGCTCCTCGAGCTGAATACCAGCGAAACGCAACAATGTCAAGAGCTTTGTGTGCTTTGAGGGCACCGGAGAACAAGCAGCGTACAGCACGTGCCAAGTAGAGCCTTGGTTCGCGATGTTCCTTGCGTTCTGCAAGCTAGCGCTCGTGATCGGATCCATCAAGCTTACCACCCAATCTCCACTGTAGAACGTGAAGCCGGAGCAAGAGCACACGCAATGGGGGCGGAGATACACAACTCAACTCGAAACGTGGATTTGTTGCACAATGGCAGCCTTGCTCGATCAAGGGCAGACTCACAGCCTAGAAACCGCTAGTGCGACGTGCGTGCTCAAGATATCGGGAGTTCGGTATAGTATGTTGCCCTATCGAAGTTCTCGCATATGATCAAGAGAAAAGGACCGTGGCACTCGGTCTCTGCTGACCGCAGCTGCAGCCAAGATATTCAATGATCTCCTGCAGCCTGCAAGCGCCGCGCGCTACTTACCGACCTAGAACACGCAAGCCTTGATCCATGTACACATCACGTCTGGGCAGAACATCAACAGTCCAAAGTGGAGATGGAGAAGCTCAAATACGACAACCACATCGGGGTGCGGCCTCCTCTGAGCGCTATTTCGGTGCCCTCCAGGCATCGTTAGCGACCTGTACCACGATGATCGTGGGCCCAGCTGAACTAGCTTTGGTAATCTCAAGCCATAGCAGAAGGCACTTTCAACAATGCGCTGTGTGAGTGGCTTTACTCTTCCGAAGCTCTGCAGGAAATGCCGTCTGAGCGCTGTTGACAAGGGTAGACGGCAACCCAATTGGCTCGTGCTGTCTGATAGCTCGCGATTGTTCTCGATGCTAGCTCATCCTGACCACGAAATGCATTCGTAGTATGAGGCTCGTGGCCATCACTGCCCTACGATGCCTGCTTACGCTGGCTCAGCAGGACCCGAGGCTGGGGCTTGGACGCATCTGAGCATTGTACTGCAGCAATCCAGAGACTCGTCTTCCATCGGATCTCGGTTTTAAAAGGAAACCTAGCAAACCTCGTGTGAGTCTGTGTTCAGCCCTCTAAGTCACAGTCAAACCTCCTCCTCTCAGCCCTATCAATAGCCGACATTCGCTCTATCACTTTCCGCAGCCATGCAGCTTTGCTTTCTTTTTGCTGTCACGGTTCTAGCGTTTTCTTCTGGAACTGTCGCCGAAAATCTGGATGATGCTGTTGAGCACGATTTCATGAAGACTGGAATCTCAAGGAGGCTCGATTTGGCGGCGAAGATTTTTCGCAGAGAGGATCCCAAAGAGAACAACGAAGATTTTGATTACGATGAAGACAGCATATGCTACAGCTATGGCATCGACTATCAGAACGGAGGCAGCTACTTCATTGACTCCCGGTCAAATGCGAGCTTCACCTGCGTTTCGCAATTTGAGAGCTGTGTAGAAGACACCTACTCAAACATAATCCTGGTCAACGACGATACTGGTGATCAAGTACTGTGTACAGATGTTCCGACAACGCCAGATCTTGTCTCTCAAATGTCGACATGTCCAATCACCAAAGATGAGATGACTTCTGGCGACTGGAGTATCATTGTCATAGGCAACAATGGCGACGGCTCTCCTTTCGGCTGGCAGCGCGATTTCTATCTAACTGTCGGCATTCCACAAACAACTACGATTACCAGCACCTTGACTTTCTCCGAAACCACAACACCAGTTGCTACCACAACGAGTCAGTTCACCTATGCTGCACCTTTCATTTTAATCTGCTAATGCCCTGTAGCCACGTCAACAATCCAGACGACAACGAATGTCCCGAATAAGTCAACAGTCACGGTTGCTGCATACACCAGGACATTAACAGTAACGCCCAAACCAGTCATCACAACCACAAGCAAGATCATCACACGCACATTCGATAGCTGGACAAGAACAGTCTCAACAATCACAAAAACCGTCTACCCAACATGCACCGTCCCGCCAAGACCCGAAAATCCCGACCCAGAATGCCGCATCAAGCCAACAGTCATTCCAATCCCCAAAGGCCTCAGCATCAACATCAGCAAGAAATCCAAGCGCGCAGACACACCGCTCAATGCAGAACAACTCAGGAAAAGATTCGAACAGCTCAAAGCTACCCGCGAACGTCTCGCCCTCGCACTCACACGACGCTCTCCCGACGCACCAACAATTACAGAAACAGATCCAGTCCCAGCTAGCACCACAACCACATCCACAGCCCCCACGTCGACATTCACGGACGTCAGCCTCACAACTTCGACAGCTACGATCACCGATCCACCTAAAACAGTGAAAAAGGGAACAAAAACTGTTACGACGACTTTGCCACCGAAGACCAGAACGATTACGAAAATCGGATACACTATCACCTATAAAACGAAAACTATGGCTAAGACTTGGACTTATACGACTACAGCCACAGCTGCTGCTTCCGTCACTGCGTGTTTGAAGAAAGGAGGACATTTCGGAAGTGTTTGGTGATAGAGGGAGACATGAGTTTTATGATTTATGACTGGGATAGAAATGCTTTTTGATGGAAACACCTAACCGCTACCTAATGCTACTTTTACAGTTGAGAAGCAGTCTTTCCAAGTTTCTTGATCCTCAAGCAGACGTCTATTGCCGACGTTGGGGTGTAACTTCCTCGCTTAGACGAAAGTTGCTGTAGTTTAGATACATGCCTTGGGAAGTCCGTGTTGGCTGGGAGGTGATTCTGGCAGCGGTTGCGCGAGAAGATGGGTAGGCTGTTCTCCCTGCAGCTCTTGCGTACGCTGCTGGCAGCAAGGATTTTTCCGTGCTGTGTGCTTGCGACGTTACCACGGGAACGTTGTTGGGGGCAACATGTGGCTTTTGGAACGTAGAGGTCGATGTTCTCGAATCTGGATCCGGCAAGCCTGAAGGGACTTTCGTTATCGCTGTTGCTGGTCTTGGCAGTCTAGATGTATTGCCGCCGACGTCTGTCGCTGCTGATATCGGGTGCACGTCATTGGTAGGAGCGGCTCTAATTCCTGATGTTGTCGGACTTCGAATCAGCTTCGGGGCGGAACACGAGGTCCAACTATGTCCCGCAGAGGGCTTAGTCAGGGACGGTGCGCTCTCAGCACTTCTTGCCATGCCCGAGGTCGCAGCACGCTCTGGTCCCGTTGTATTCGAAGGCAGACGATGACCTGAATTGCAAAGTCTTTCAGATCCTTGATGTTCAGTTTGAGGAGGTCTCAATGCCGGTCCTCTCTTCTCATCAGCCTCTAGCGCACTTCGCTCATTTCTGGTGAATCTGCCTGTCAGGCTGATGCTATTGTCGAGACTCATGTTCAGACCAGACTCTCGATTTTGTCGATGATCTGCTCGTAGAAATCTTTCGACGGATGTCATAGGTGCAGATTCTTGTCTTTGGAAGAAGGGTGTCTTTCTGCTTGCCATATGTACGGGCGGCCGTGGATAGGAATCATTTCGTTGATGCAAAGCAACATGCTGATCTTGACCAGTTGGAAATGTGTTTGCGACTGGCGCACCAATTGCTGGAATTCCCGGACGCGCTACCATACTTCTGCTACTGTCCGTTCTGGCTGTCGACTGGACATGTTCACTGTCTCTCCTATCCTCGCTCGGAAGGATTTGAGCCTGCCGGAACGTTCGAGTAGATGTAGGAGCGCTATGAACTTGGCCCTGGGGAGACTTCTCAGAGGCTCCGATTGAGGCATGGGTAGGATGGCGAAGATAGTGACGGGCCTGACTGTCCCTGCCGAGTCGTGGACTTGTCTTCTCCTTTTCCGGGATAGGTGATGGTTCAGCCTTCACTCTGATCATCTCAGCTCGCTCCTTGCTCACTGAGTTGTCAATCACACGAAGCAGCTCCGTCTCATCCTCTGCATCCAGTGGCTTGTTTTCTTCAGAAACTTCCGTGTAGCTACCTCGACCGTTCTCAACGAAATGCCTGGACGGTAAGATATGAAAGTCGGTGACCGGCAGAGTTCGATGAAAGTAATGGTAATCGTGAAGCTCTCGGTCAACAGCCTGCCTTGTAATCTCATAAGGCTGCACAACGTGTGTTGCATGGGTGACTGCAGGTTGCCAGACGACAGTCCTATGGGTCTCTTCGGTATTGGTGAGATCGAGCGCGCTCAGTGCGTGGCCTATGGCGCCGTCGCGATCAGATGCAGTGGATCGATACTCGTCGACGTCCGGAGCAGCTCTATCGACATTCCATGGCGCGAGAGATGTCTCCATCAAGAACCATTCATGCTGTCGCACCGGCAGCTTCGGCAATGGCTTGTGCAGGCTTCCATGTCGTGTGTGCACTGATTGTCCATGCTGACGACTTCTGATGTGGTTCCAAATGTCCCCAAGCCGGTGTAGGTATGGGGGCATTGTAGATTGCATTCGAAGGTCACGGCAAGCAGGCTTGCGGGAGAGGAGGTGCACTTCTGCCATGGCAGTACAGCATGGAGATCAGACATGAAGGACGGCGATGCATGGTGGGATGGAGGGACACCGTCAATGCGTCCAATGGGCAGGTGTCGCTTTCCTTCCTTTGCCTCGCGGTACGTCAAGGCAAATTGAACGCGGCTTCCCTTAGCGCCACGCGTGGTAGCCAGGACAACGCATACTGCAAGGAGACTTCAAGTTGTCGTTCAGTGCCGCAATGCGGATGTTTGATGTATGATATGCCGATGCGTGCTGATCACTCCGAAGTGTTCTCAGTAGACGCGCAAGCCGTCTGCGATGTCGACGCCTCGGACGCTGACGATATACGGAGTCAATTGCTGTCGTGCCTGCCTCGGGGCACCTACCTGCACTTTCCACATCGTCCACATCGTGGTTGCCGCGCGCAGCATATGGCAGCCACGTTGCTGCCGCTCAGGACGAGACAACATCCATCTTCTGACGCGATTCAATCTTCCGTTGTACATCCACCTCGCTTCCGAGCATTTACACAGACCTTCAGCATCTTGAATTCCAGCACCCCTACAGAGCTCTCTTACTCACACAACCATGGAGAACGCTAGACAAGGTGTCGAATCCCATCTGGCCAAGGCCGGCCATCATGACACTACCGTCCATGAGAAGGTCGCGCCAGCTGTCACCCGTGAGACCATCACTAGAACGGAGCACGAGGTACGCACACTTCGCTTCTCGATTTCACTGCTGGCAGTGCCACTGACTGCCACTCCATAGGAAGTCACAACTGCCGTCGACCAGGAGATCCATCAAGACCACTACCATGTCTCGGTCCAGCCAATTACGGAGGAGGAGTATCGCGAGGAACAGCACCATCACACCCTTCTTCCCGTCGAGCAGGAGAATTTTGAGCATGATGACCCGGCAGAGGTTCAAAGCGTGCTTGCAGAGGTCGCTTCCCAGTTCCAGAACGAGGTCAACAACGTCACTGCCGAGAAGACCACTTCTACACTGCCAGACATCGAAGGAGTGCACGTGCACCATCACGTGTTCGAGACAATTCAGGTGAGTCGCTCCGCTTCCGCTTCCGCCCTGTGCGCTCTCCGCGTCGCGGACAGTCGTCTCAACTCGGAAGCAACTTTCGGAGCTGATCTGTTTTCCTTAGCCTGTCATCACCAAGAAAACCTTCCAGCCTCATGTCTACCACGTGGTCCGGCAACACCGCCATATCCATCACAACCGCGCCATCTATCATGCTCCCTCGACCTTACCAGCTCTGACGCTTGCAGAGTTCCTGAAGAACGGTGGAGTGCTCAATGGCCGTGAGGAACGCTATGATGCATTCGAAGGAGAGCCTCGCTCGGTCGGTGAAGCTTTGAGGGGCGATACCAAGACACCGTAAGTGATCATTTGGTGCCGCGATGTCTATCTCCAGATACTAATGGCAACCAGGGCGCCAGATGCGAAGCCAGCAGCGCCACTTGAGCCGGCAGAGCGAGCGGCCTTCGCTAGCCTCGACCGTGTGCTGTCCGAGCGTGTCCCCGCCGTACGATTCGACCCTGTGCCACTGGAGCGAACTCCCACAGCGCCTGCAGCGACTCCTGCCGTGGAGTCATCGCCACCTCCGCCTCCGCCTCCGCCTCCGCCTGCCCCTCCAGTGCGCATGGGAACTGCCGATGCTGCCTCACACCCCCTCATGAACCCGTCCACCTCTCTCCCTCAGCACCATTATCGAAGTTCGGCTCCACACCCTAGGCGCACGGCCGGGGTCAGATCGCCGAGCGCCCACCGAGATGAGTGAGGTGAGGCAGGGGCCTAGATAGCCGGAGTGACCAATTCTCACCTAAATTGCACCCTTAGGTAGCATACAGAATGCAAAATGTCACCTCGCATGCTACATCGCTTCCGCGCAAAGACCGTCTCCGAGTCCACGATGTTTGGTCTCAAGGTCTTACGCCCGATAGCCGAGTAAGAGTGATATCAATCGTCTACTCGTTTCGAGTAGTTTCCGGCTCACTTCAGAGTGTGCAATGTCATCGCTTCCGCGCAAAGACCTTTTCTAAGCCTATGATGTTTCGTCTCGAGGTCCCAAGCCCGAAAGTCGAATCGGAAGTGGCATCGATCGCCTACTACTGTAAGGATTTTCCGGCTCACTTCAGAATGCGAAATGTTATCGCTTCCGCGCAAAGTCCTTTTCTAAGCCTATAATGTTTCGTCTCAAGGTCCTACGCCTGAAAGTGGAATCGGAAGTGACATCGATAGCCTACTCGTGTAAGTAGTATCCGGCTTGCTTTAGAATGCGAAATGTCCTCCAGAATGGTACCCTGACCTGGTACGCTGTGTATCCGAGGGGGGCATGCCGTGTCTGACTGCTGACAGGCATCGAGTGATTGCCAGCGCTGGCTTGGGATTCAGCCGGACCGAGTTGGGCATCCTGTGTCTGACTGCTGACGGTGACCGAGGGATTGCCAGCGCTGGCTGAGCGATGATGGCATCTGAGGCGACAGGTGCGACTTTCCTCTGAGGCTGTATTGGCGGATCATCGCGTGTTCCTAAAGGCAGCCATCTCTTGACCACAGTCTCGTTTTCCCACTCGCGGTGGATCATTCGAACCTGCCAAGGCGACATGCCAGGGCTTAGAGAGCCCGAATTTGGCCGGCTAGCATACACAGCGGGAAATAACACTCTTTTGTAAGCCGGAAACTTGGATTCAAGGATTATCGTACGATGGTCAAGCCTGATCTCCCTCAGGAGAAGGCGATGTTCATATGGCAGTCCTTCGATCCAGCAATGCTAAAATAGCCAATGGAACTTTTCAAAGCCTGTGACGTAGAAAGTGGTGTTGCCGTAGTACTGTCTTGCGAATGCGGCCCTTGCCGACTGATGCACCTGAAGCTGCACAGGCGGCTTGTAGTATCTATCGAGATCGACAACCAGGTCCTGCTCAGCGGTGAATACGAGGTTGTAGATGTGATCGAAAAGTTCTTGTGGAAGGTTGAATAGCCCGGCGTTCAGTTGGGCCACGGTGGGCGTTGACGGCGTCATATTGGCAGCAAGTCAGGATAATGTACGCTGCCAGAATTCCTTTTGCGTCCTGGAAGTGAGATGATGTCGTTGATCACCAGGAATCGTGATAGACTATATACTCGACAAAGAATCAGTGTCCTCAGTGGTGTGCGCGCCGTCTCCATTTTTTTGCGAAAAAAGTCCTCATAACCTGAGGATACTTTGCGAGCTGCTAATAAGCATGTTTCCCGAAAACGCTATCACGGCCCGAGCAACACAAGCCATATCTGGATGTCAGCCCTCACGGAACAGGTGGACATAGAAGGTGAGCACCGAGTTCCGTTTTCTGCTTCGCGACATACATGGTTGTTCGAATATTCAATAGGTCTCGTCCAATCCTGAGATACAAGATAGGTAATTGACCTATTGCAATAGGACCAGCGCGCTAGTTACCGCTACCAGGGCTCTGGAAGATGTACAGCTGTATCATGCAAATGCTTAGTAATTCATCATGTCTGCTTACGAGTCAGTGGTTATGGTAGCTTCAAGATCTCGATAGAGTAACTCACCTCTTCCAAACAATGCTCGCTTACTCCAGTCCATCGCAAGCAGCATACGCGTACGTAGACTGACGCTCTGCGCGAAATAGATACTACGCCAGAGATACACGGCGAGCAGACCACCGCCCCACCCATGGCCATTGAAGTCGAAGATTGCTGCGTTACCAATGTATGCCAGACTGCCCATATGCTTATACTCGAATGCTTTGTATACGGCATCGTCGACATCGCCATCGATAATGTCGTTCAACCTCATGCCATACTCAGCGCGTGCTAGCTTGTTGAGCTTGCGTCCGAGGTAGACACCTTGCTGATTGGCGCGTTGCGCTGTTGCTGGCAGAGAGGTGAGCTTGCTATCGATCTGCTTAAGGAGTTCACTGAGCTCGCCGAAGTCTAGAGTGCCATTCTTGTCCTTGTCGTATTGTTCGAAGAGCTTCCCAAGTCGCTTGAGATGGTCCGATGCCTGCGGGAAACGCGCCTTGACGCGCTTCGCAACTTCGCACCATTGCGGGTATGTAATCTGCATTGTGGCTGGATCTTTGCCTTTTTCCCAGGCCAATGTACGCAGAAACGTAATGACGTGGTCTGAGACATTGTTCTGGACAGTACTGCAGTCACCAATTGCGTAGACGTCGCCTAAAGGTGCGCCTGCGAGACGCAGATGAGTGTCGGTCTCAAGAGCGTGGCGGTTGTTCTGGTTGCCGAATTTCTTGGCGATGTTCTGAGCGAATTCAGTCTGCGAAACTCCTGTAGACCACAGGCAGAAGCCCATGGGAAGTTCCTTCGTGATTACGCTGCCGTCCGCGTCCTTTTGAGTATAAAGTATTCGGTCTGATTGCACCTCCTTTACACGTGCGTTGGTCTGCACGTCGACGTCGTCGTGGGCCAAGCGATCTTCTGCGTATTTGCTGAGAGCTTCGTCGTAGGTGTTGAGAATGTGGCCACGAGACTGGATGACGTGCACAGAAATCTCATTTCTTAAAAGTCTGGGATAGAACTTGGTGAGATCCTCATTCAGCATGTCGTAGAGCTCAGCAGCAAATTCGACTCCAGTAGGACCGCCACCAGAAATAACGAAGGAGAGCAATCTTTTTCGCTCTTCGTCGGAGGTAGTGGGCAAAGATGCAGTTTCGAGGTTGCGTATCACAGCATTTCTGATCTTGCGAGCATCTGAAATGTCCTTGAGGAAATGGCAGTGCTCTAGTCCTTTGACGCCATGTGGGTTTGTGGTAGATCCGACTCCAATAATGAGCTTGTCATATGGCAGGTAAAAGCGCCGCTTTCCGCCATCTGAGTCGTAAGATTCCAGCTCGACCAACTTGTTACTAAAGTCAACGTCCACGGCAGACGCCTTCAGGAAATGACCTTTGATTCGCTTGATGATCCCACGCACTGGCTCGACCAGACTTCTGAATTCCAAAGTGCCCACAGTCGCGGATGGAAGCATTGGTGTGAACAGAAAGTGATTCGAAGGCGAGACGACTGTGACGTGGTACTCGGCAGCGTTCAACTCCTTCAGCAATGCCACGCTCCCCCAGCCTGTGCCCAAAATGACCAGCTTTGGCTTGTGCTTCTGCTCTCTCATCCCCGAATCCTCCTCATCGTCCACAAAATACTCGGCGATGGGTAGATTCTTGGGACCGCCCTTCCGCGGATTCAAAGCCAGCTCTGAGACGGCAAGCTCCGCGGTATCTGGATTTTCACGATATGTGGTAGCATCGTAGATGAAGAAGGCGACGACCAGTCCACCGCTGATAACGATGAACAAGCCGAGTGAGGCCAGCGCTTTGTAGGCATAGCGAAGGATTATGCTCTTAGACTGCTTCGGACCAGCCGCAGACTCTTTCGTCGAAGCCCATCGGACCTGGACCTGTACGTCCTTCGCTGACGGCCGCTCGAAGGTGTGTCGGACAGTCTTCGCTATCGATGGCGAGGATTGGCGGGTGATGGGTCGTGTCTGCGCTTTGAACGGAGCTGGAATGGAGGCATTGGCATTGGCTCTATTTCGCGTTGCCTGCTGCCACGGCTGTGTGTGCACTTGGCGCAGGCTGGAGCGAGCAGAGCCGGGAATGGCTCGCTGCATGGGTAGCATCGCTAAGCGGCCTCTTATCGCATGGAAGCTTTCCGACCACGAGATGTGTCGGTTGTGGGAGGAACGCAACGCAGGATTGAGGATTTGGTTAGGTATTGGTACGCCGGTGCACAGGAAACGAATGCTGCAAGATGATGATTCTACTCAGCGAGTGCAGGAGAGGAGATTAATGAAGCTCGTATGATCATACTGTCGCTGTCGTATTGCACACGGAAAGTTGGGAATCGGTATCCGTGGTGGTGGTGACGTAGCGTGCTTTGCAGTTGCCGGACCACCCGTCAAACTTTGAAAGGTCTCTGTCACATGCTGGCTCCTGACACAACTTAACATTCACTGGACTCTGACTGCTGAAAATGGCCGCCGAGAGGATCACGACTATTTCTCCTGCGACCAACAAGCCCATCGTAGAACGCTATGGCCCTACAGATGCTGAATTTGCAGACATCCCAAAGACTGCTCAAAAGGCCTTCTTGAAATACTCCAAGACGCCACTGGCAGAACGGCAGAAGATTGTCAAGAAGGCACTGCAGTTGCTTGACGAGAAACAAGATGAATTGGCAAAAGACATTACCAACGAGATGGGACGACCAATTGCATTCGCCGCGAAAGAAGTCACTACTGCTGTGGCGAGGGGCGAGTACCTCTTGAAAATTAGCGACGAAGCTTTGTCAGATACACCGGGCGAGCCTCAAGAAGGCTTCAAACGCTTTATCAGGAAAACCCCGCTCGGTCCTGTCTTGATTCTCTTCCCATGGAATGTGAGTGATTCCGCAGAAGTTGTCCTGACGAAACCGGTCAGCTGACTCATGAAAGTACCCATATCTAACACTCGTCAATTCCCTCGTGCCAGCACTCCTAGCGGGCAACAGTGTCATTTTGAAGCCTTCACCACAAACGCCTACGACTGCGGAATCTGTGCACAAGATCTTTGTCGAAGCTGGACTCGACAAAGATGTCATCCAGTTCTTCCACGCTGGCGATTTCGACAAAATCGCAAAATTGGTGCAGGCTCCTGAGATCCAGCTAGTCTGCTTCACAGGCTCCGTTGCCGGCGGTCTCGCTGTGCAGAAGGCGGCGGCTGGCCGCGTTGACTGTCGCGTTGGCCTAGAGCTTGGCGGCAAAGACCCGGCCTATATTCGGCCTGATGTTGACCTCGCGTGGGCGGCCGAGGAGATTGTTGATGGTGCTGTTTTCAACTCTGGCCAGTCTTGCTGCAGCTTGGAGCGTGTCTATGTTCACGAAAGCGTGCATGACAAGTTCGTCGAGGAAGTAAAGAAGGTCCTTGCAAACTATAAACTTGGCGACCCAACGGACAAGGCCACACATGTTGGCCCTGTTGTCAGCAAAGCGGCGAAATTGCGCATTGAAGATCACATCAACAATGCTGTCAAGCAGGGGGCGAAGAATGAGACACCCGACAACGCCTCTTTCAAGAACCCCCCATCCGATGGCAATTACGTGTCGCCCACCCTCTTGACGAATTGTACACAAGACATGCAGGTTGTGCAGGAGGAGACATTTGGCCCGGTCATACCTGTTCTGAAGGTGAAGTCTGATGCTGAGGCTGTTCAAAAGATGTCCGACAACCAGTATGGTCTCACTGCATCGGTCTGGACCAGAGACGTCGCCAAAGGCAACGAACTTGCTGATGATATCGAGGCCGGCACTGTCTTCATCAATCGCTGCGACTATCCCGCTCCGGATCTGGCTTGGGTTGGGTGGAAAGACAGTGGCAAAGGCCAGACATTGTCGCGCTTCGGGTTCGATCAATTCGTGAAGCTCAAGAGCTACCACGTGAAGAACTACCCCAAATGAGGAGCAAGAGCGACGACGAGGTAATCCCGGGACAGGCCGGCTGCTGCATCAACCAAATGCGACAACTTCTATTCTGGTGGTAAACTCTTGCTTTATAAAAGAAAGTCAGCCAAACGACGCTGCGGCGCCAAATGGTCGGAACTTTCGGATTGACAGGCCATGCATGCCGGGTGCTGCACAGCTGCAGGACTCAGGATGCACGGACTGCGCATCGCGGATGATGATCAATTAGTGCGGTCGACGCAAGGCACGGCACGTAACACAAGGCAGATGTGTGAACCTCGACTTCTCTAGCGTCTCCGTCCCCGCTTTGTTCGCGACCTCACTTCTCGACTTCAGCCACCGACTAATAATCAGTTACCAGAAACGTGTCGATTGGGCCTGTGGCGGACCGACACTCTAAAGGTCCCAAAGCCGGGGGGGGGGGGGTGTGCCTGAATCTCCTGTCCAAATCGGTGCCTCTGAAAGTGAAACACACATCCAAAACGCAATTCTGATGTGCACCTAGGGTCGACAATCAATGTTTCTGGCGTCATTCTCGAAGAACTATCCGTCTCAATTAGCACAACCCAACGGACTCCTAGCCTACTTTGGCCTGAGTCAAGTTCCTTGGCCTCGGCATGTCATGAGCATCTCGCTGTAGCACTGAATCTTAAGGACCCGCCACTGCACAGGCTTCCCTTTGTTCGCAACAGCATTCCAGCACTGTGGATCAAAGGGCCAATCGAAGAATGCGGCTTTCACGCATTTGATCACGAACAGCAACCGAGTCTGGAGCCATGCGAGGGCAAAGAGCAAGCGAAAGCTTCGCGTGGCTCTAAGTTACCCAAGCAATCTCTTTCTGACAGGCAGGACGTTGTCGCTATTTCGACCGACAACCTGTTGGCATCCAACAGGCCTCTATACATTGTGCCTATCATACCCTCACCTCCTGATGTACCGAGTACCTTACTATTATCCGCCACCTCCCGCCGCCCTCGCCCTATTGCATAATATTCCTGCACGCACATCACACTCCTACGGTGTGTCTTGCGCAGAGACGCCGTCATAGCAGGCATACAGAATAATTGCTATCGTCTTCAGTCCTCGGCAGACTGTCTCAAAAACAGCCAGATACGCCTTCAACTCAAACCCTGAGCTTGCACATCAAAGAAACCACATACCTGCAGCAGATCGCACCAGATCTGAGATCAAGCTACGCCTTCGCACCCGCATCTAGAAAGCTGAAACTCGATATTGCATGCGAATGTGCCGAAACTGTCTTAAGTCGCGTGCTTCTCGCTTGCATAGCCGGAAAGACATTGAGTGAGAGTCAGACAACCTGACCGCCACATACGCTTTGAACGAGAAGCTGGAGCCAAAGCAAGTTTGCTTCAAAAATGCAGAAAGCGCCGTCGACCATGGAAACGTCACGAACAGAAGACATGTTCAAGGACGATCGGCGGGGCCAGGAAGAACCACGAACATTTGGCGAATCACTGGCACGATTCTTTGGCGTCATGTTTTGCTGTATGAGTAGTTATGATGATGAAGTGGATGAGACGCATGGCAGTGACCGGAAGCTGGAGATTGTGAGTGCAGCCCGATTTTGTACATCAAGCATCGACCAGATCCACCATGTACTAACAAAAACATTAACAGAGTGCACCGACCAACTTTCGGAGAGAGGAAATGGACATACCTGGCTTGACAGAAGAACAGTACGCAAAGCGTTGATCCTGCAACTCAAACAATTCATACTGATATCCATTTCCCTCCTCCAGAAGCAAAATGTACCGCGAAAAACAACGCCGCGACGCAGAACGCATGTGGAACCACCTCCAACCTCTCCGCTCCTCACCCTCCGGCACCTTCGCCGAAAGACCAGCAGACAACTACCCAACCTACGAAGCCTTCACTCAACCCCGTTCCGCTCCAAAACCAGGCCAACCGCGTCGAAGTCCCTTGCACGTCGACACCTCCCCCAACTCCACCCTCGCACAATCCACCTCTCCCACCACAGCCAACTCCCGCGCCGACTCCGCTTTCCACCAGTCCCGCTCCAACCCCCGCCTCACAGATCGCGTCAAAGCCCATAGTCGGAAATTCTCGGATTCTTGGAATTATCGGAAATCTGCGCAGGGGGTGGATTATCATCAACCTCCGTATAATGCGGTTTCGAAATATGATGATGTGGAAATGGCGAGGTTGATGTTGAATTCTGAGAGTAAGACGGCGGTGAATAGTTCTACTGGGTCTCCGGTGGGTGAGGGGAAGCAGTCGGAGGATAGTTTTTGTACGAGGGTGACGGATGTTGTTGAGAGTACGGAGCGGGTGGGGGTGGGGATGGGGTATAAGATTTGAGTTGAATTGAATGGATGGATGGATGGGAGGGCAGGCAGGATTGTTGGGTGGCGGCGTCAAGGTGTGTGGGCTTGCTTGTATGGTGTCATGGAGAGCGATATATCATGACTTTTTGGGAGTGAGTACCTTATCGATGTGGGCAGAAAATAACATCATGGAATAGAAAAGGGATCGAAGTAGGGGATATGACAGGCACTCCGAATTTTGCCTGTGGGCTTCAGCTTCTACGTAACCACATCATCTATCTCGAATGAGAATTGAGCAGAACATGCTCCTTTGATGACGACGTTCATTTTTCATTTCTACTACCCTCAAGTCTCGGATTTCAGTCCTTGATGCTTTGGAACTCTAGCGTCGAGTTCCCAACCTTTGATGACGATTGATGTTCCGTGGACTCCGAGCTTCGAAAGAGGAATAACGTTCGAAACTCAGGTAAAGCAGCATGCGCATCGTTTGCTCATGGCCTTCATTTCTGGCATGAATCGTCGGCAGACTTCACCAGGCCTTTGCTGCATGAGACCGCGCGAAGGACTGAACGATCCAGAAGATCTCGTCATATTCTCGTATGCTGCAGCAGACGAAGTGCCAAGAGACAGTCGGACCTCGCGCGGCCGCCGTTCGACTCGCCTTCGCATGTCGAGCAAATACCATCCTTATATCTGCAGTCTGCCCTCGTTGAAAGCCTTCTCCAGCTTTTGAATGTCCGCAAGCGTCTGCGCCTTCTGCACCATAGCTTGAAACTTCTTCTTTTCCTCTTCCGTGTACTTCATGCGCGAACCCGTCGTGGCGGTAGGCGCGTTGAAGAGACCATTGCTGGACTTCACCGCAGCGATGCTCTTCGCAAGATTGCTGGGCTCATCGTGTGTACCGAATAGCTCTTTCCCCTTCTCCCTTTCAGCATCCTTCACTTTGACGAAATCCAGGAACCGGATTTGCGGACAGTTCCATATTAGCCAGTAGCGGTAGTTCTACACATCCCAAGTCAGTACTTCATTCCTTTTCCCTCTCCCACGTAAGCCGCACTCACCTCCTTACTAGCAACCGGATTCTCCACCAAACTCACATACGTAAGCTTCTTAAACCCCCTCAACGGCACCAGATCGCTCAGCTCGCCCAAATTATTCTGCGTCAAAACCAACGTATGCAAATTCGGCACACTCTTGCTCGCGGATTCCGAAACACTCGAGATTCGATTCTGCGCGCATAGAAGCGTTTGGAGTCGCGGCGATAAGGGGAAGTTTCCGAGCACTTGTATGGCGTTGTCGGTGAAGTCGATGCATTCTTGGTCTTTTGCGACACCCAGATTCTCGATGGCTGGGATTTTGTGGCCTTTTGGAACAAAACTATGTATCAACTAGCTCTTCTGTGTAGTATCTGTTCTTTTCAGAACACAGGGTGGTATAGCATCGTACCTCGTAGGTCGAGTTCGCGCTCGTTTAGTGGGTTGTTGTATGAGAGCGAGTTTTGGACTAGCTCTGTTGTGAGGCGCATGGTGGGCTATGATTTGCCTTCAACGTCGCTGGTGTGGTGATCTCTTTAGTGCAGATATGGAGGGTTGGCGTCGAGATGTATGCGCAACTGGGAGAGAGGTATAGAAAGGTTGTGTTGAAGCGCGATTGTCGAAGAGCATGCAAGTCGAGAAGTGATGAGGGAATCTTTCTTGATGCGAGACCGAGTCATGATTCCTGTATCAGATCGCGGCCTGGCCCGCTGCTGTGCCAGTCGCCGATCAGTGCCTACATGTGCCTTGATCGAATTCCTCACCGCGATGTGCAACGCATACCAATCATATAGACAATACTTGGGGCTCTGGATAGGGAGGTTTCTCATAAGTCTGCGGTTTAAATCGTATGTCCTTTTTGTCTGGATTTGACGCGTAATGTCGTTGTTGCTCTGAGAGAAAGGCTTTCAAGACTACGGAGTTACCATCGGATCAGATGCTAGCAATCAAGAGATAATCATCCATCGACTGCTCAGGCATAAATCCCAGACACTACCTCATCAGGACTCAGGAGCTCCGCAGCATCCAACTGGCCCATGAGAGTCTGACAACTGGTCCAGGATCCGTTTGATCACACGAACCCCCTTGTTCCCACCTAGGCGCTACGCCGACATAGTGACATAGCATTTACCGGATCGTTTCTCGGCGGAGGGCGATACAAATTTGCCTCAGTACGAGCCCGTAGGCTGTCTAAGCTATACTGGTGAACATCTGGCCTCAAACAGTACAATGCTCGCCAACCAACAATATAAGCAATGCCAAGCAATGTTCCAAGGTATCCTGGCCGTGTTGGTCTGCGACTGGCCCTGTATGGCAATAGATGTAATGGTAACATTCGCATTGCCGTACTAATAATAGATCGTCTCTTTATATCTCCGCCTGGCGCTGCTGCAGTTCGCGTCGAGAGCAGCATCCCACTGCCCTACTGATAGATCATTACTTCACTTTCCCGCCTAGCACTACTACAGTTCGTGTAGAGAGCGACGTCCCACCGCAGACATGTATTTGACTACACTTCTGCAGCTATCGTCAATTGGCGCTATCTGCCTTGCAGCAGATTTACCTGGAATCCCATTCGGTCCAAAGGGCGTACCAGAGTAGGTCCACAAATTGTGCAACCCTTCGTACGGCTACTAAATCATGCTTTAGCCCCAACTCGACCTGCTGTCGTAAGAAACCTATATCTTGATTCTTGCTCGGTTCCTAGAGCTCATACTAATAGCGATACAGAGGAAGTAGTCGACCACGATCCTAGTTCAATTTGTTGCATATGCTCAAAGGACTTGCTCATCGGCGGCCACCTCGTACAAATGGCGGGTCCACAGTGTCCGCTGCAGGGTGGGCGAGCTTGTGGTCCTCCTTGCACGTGGGACGACACCTGCTGCTGTATGTCCGGACCAAATGGATTTGAGATCTATCCTTTGCTGACAGTATGATGCCACAGGGCGCTTTGCGGGACCGCACACTGATTACCATGACGGGGAGTGCTGGTGTTATGGAAAACTCGTTGCCACCGCAGTCCTAGATTATGTCGTGCGGCACTGTGGCTCGAAGTGTCCCGATGCTTGATGCTTGAAGATATCACGCACTGTTACGGAACAAGGGAAGGAACAGCTAGGGGTCGGCTAAGTAATAGAGCGACGGCTCTACCTCTGTAATTAACCTTCCCCTTCTATGTGATTATCTACAATGGGAACTTTATAACAATTGGTGGCTTCGTTTATACTAAAACCCTCGCGCTACTAGGAGTTAACTAAGATACTACTAGGACGAGGTAACTAGATCGGAGCTAAGCCGACTAAGAGCCTAAATACTTTCCCTTACTACTTTGCAACCGTATATACGGGGCAACGTATATCTATATAAACTCTATAGACTACGACCGCGCTTTCGCTATATATATACGAACTAATAGAATTACTAATATAGAGGTTAGGTCTTATCTAGTACGCTTTCTATAGGACTTCTAGCCGATAGAGAACTATCCTCCTAAGTAGCTCGATTTACCGGTATACCGTTAGCCTATATAGAACTCTTTCCTATAGTTCTATAAAAGAAGGTATAGACTAAATTTACTATTTACGACTACTATAGTAAGTAGATCTAGAAGGTACTTACCTATAAAGGGGAAGTTACCTTCTAAACTAAGGGTAGCTGCCTCTAGATCGCTATAGCAGTTATAGTTGTCGTAGTAGCCTCTACGATAATCTCCGGGCGTAACGATAATAGCCTCTACTATAAGTATATAACTATCGACTACGTCGATAGTATAACTAGTAACTATAACTATATAAGTAACGAGCGTCTAGCCTCCTACTATAGCGGAATAAGGAGAGGCTATCTCTACGGAAATAATAGCCGCTATTTAGGTAGCGGTAGTATAGGTACTAGTAAGCCAGATACCGGGAGTAACGCCTACTATAAGTAATAGAAATAGAAATAGAATACCTATCTTTAATAAGGCTAGTAACCTAGACCGTATACAGGACTAGGAAATCGGCTTCTTCTAACTAGATCTACTAAAGGGAGAGGACGATCCGACTATCGTAGGATCCGATACCTTCTTCCGAGATATTAATATCTTTATTAAGTAACTTAAGGATATTATAGCGTATCGTAGTAACAAGCGAGTTAAGTCTAGGATCCCCGCCTTACTATAAGAAACTGCCTTAACCTAGTATACTAATACGCTTAATAACCTAGCGAAATAGGGCCTTCGCTACGTACTAGGTCTAGACTATTAGTTTATAACGCTATAAGAAAACTTCTAGACGCTATTATCTAAGTTACTAAGTAAGCTAACGCGTCTTAAATATACGCTATCTAACGTAGGCAAGCGACGTAGTATAGATACCTACCTTAGCGAGGTAATACGCTATATACGTAACGCCGGCCTAGTTAATAAGAGCTAGTAACTAACGTATACCTAGAATTAGACCCCGCAGTAGTTCGGTTTCCGAACTACTAAACGTATATAGTTTAGTTTCTTAGCGGCGAACTAGCTCCCTAGTTCCGGTTTAGTTTTTTCGAACTAAATAGATTCCTAGTTTAAACTAGAGACTATATTAGTTTTACTATAAGGACACTCTTATTCGACTGCCGGCTACGATTGCTAGCTATAATAGTAACTATATTACATTTACTATGCTCTTTTGCCGTTACTAGTAGACCCCGTAGTAGTTCGGTTTCCGAACTACTAAACGTATATAGTTTGGTTTCTTAGCGGCGAACTAGCTCTCTAGTTCCGGTTTAGTTTTTTCGAACTATATAGATTCCTAGTTTAAACTAGAGACTATATTAGTTTTACTATAAGGACACTCTTATTCGACTACCGGCTACGATTACCGGCTATAATAGTAACTCTGTTATATTTACTACGCTCTTTTGCCGTTGCTAGGGCGTAGTTATCGTTGCTAGGGCGTAGTTGCCGTTGCTAGGGCGTAGTTTTGCTATAAGGACACTCTTATTCGACTACCGGCTACGATTACCGGCTATAATAGTTACTAGGTTGTATTTACTACGCTCTATTACCGTTGCTAGGGCGTAGTTACCGTTACTAGGGCGTAGTTGCCGTTACTAGGGCGTAGTTACTATTGCCGGGGCGTAGTTGCTATAGTTGCGAAAGCTTACCTATATAACGTTATATAGGCGGCAATAATTAGGGCTTCGCGATATTCTTATACTTTTAACTTCTTCCTCTATACCTATACCGACAATAACTACTATACGCTACGCCCCCGCCCCTTTCCCTTATAATAGTAAGAGAGAAGCGCGCCGCGCGCTAAATAGAAGATAGAACTAAAGACCGCGAGTTTGTTTTACCTAAGCGTCTAACTAAAAAGCGTAAGACTAAAGAGGAGTACTCTACGAAGAAGAATTCTATACGAGACCGCGAGAGAAAGGAAAAGATAGATAAGGATAAAAGAGCTAAGGATAAGAGAAGAAAGGCGCGGAATAAGGTATTCTATCGATAGCTAGTACCTATAGAAAAAAGTAAAGGTTAGAATAAGAAGACAACCTAAGAGAAGGCTAAGAGGAGGAAAGAATTACGGCTAGTTTTCGAGCGTAAAGTTCTAGTAGCGTAAGTTAATCTAGCTAGCGGCCGTAGCTAGTAGCTATAGCCGGCAGCTATAGCCGGTAGCTATAGCCGGTATATTTTTCTTTAATACGTTAACTAATAGTATTTAGACCTATAGCCGCTATCTCTATCGATACGACCGATAGTAACGGAGATATTTAGATAGCCGAGAACAATAATACTAGAGTTTAGGATACCGCGATAGAGCTTAATACTACGAATAAAGGAACTGAAAAAAGCGAGGAGATACTATACGTCGATCTAGTAATAGGTACAGTCTTAGGGCCTAACGCTATAGACGATAAGCGCTAGGAGTAGATCGAGTATAGTTAAAGAGACGAGATACTAGTAAAGGGCTAAGGTATAAGTCCTATTAATCTAGAAAATTATAGTTAAAGCTACTACGAAAAGCTAGTAAGGATTGGAATCGAGACTAGTCGTCTTTATATCCTCGATATAGAGTAGAAGTTTCTTTATTAGTATTAGAGCGAAGCCTTTACGTCTATAAAGGCAAAGTAGCTTACGATTAATACGATCGGGGCTAGGTATCTAGGGACGGTAGAAGTGTTACTATAGGAGGAAGGGGTATAGGTAATTATTCTATACTCGGTATATATAGCCGGCGTTCGTAGCCGGTAGATACTAATAGTTAAATAAAAAGCGTTTCTCGAAGGTAGAGTGCTACTACTATATAAAATCTTTACTAAGGCAGAGAGGGCTTATATCCGGAATCTAAGCTACTAGTAGGATAGGTTAGCGTTAGAATTCTCTAAATCTCTATATAAGCCTCCGAAGGATTACCTATTTTAGCGATACGGCTTTATTTCGACTACTCCGTAGGTACCCGAAGAAGCTCGAGCGCTCTTTAAGGTCTTTACTAAGAAGCGGAAGGAGTTCGAGGATTAGGATTAGTTAATAGAGCTATTAGTTAGTCTTAGGTTTCGTAGTTAGACTCGGCCTAAGCATTTACTTATCGAGTATCTTATACCGAAAGAGGATAGATTAAGACTAAAAACGAGCTTAGATTCGTTAGGTATAGTAGCTCGGTTCCGTTAG